ACAGACAGACAAACAAACTGACAGGCGGACAGACAGACAGACAACCAGACAGACGGATGGACGGACAGACAGAGAGACAGACGAGCACACTTCAGCATACACAACTATGTCCTCAAATAACAGAGAGAGAGAGAATCACCTTCGTAAATACTTGGCAGTCATTCTGAGAGCATGCAATGACCAGACATCGCTTATAGGATTACTACCTGAACACAAACACACGCACACGGAAAACAGTGTTTTCACGCGGGCATACGGAGTCGCAGTCGAAATTCATGTAGGATTGGCAAAGAGCATGTTACGAGGAGGGCCCAGCCGATCTCGTGACAATCTCCCAATCAAATCAGCCATGTTGTGATTTAGTCATGTGACTGATCATGTGACTGATCACGTGACTAATCATGCGAGTGATCACGTGACTGATCATGCGAATGATCATGTGACTGATCATGTGACTGATCACGTGACTGAGCATGTTACTGATCATGTGACTGAGCATGTTACTGATCATGTGACTGAGCATGTTACTGATCATGTGACTGAGCATGTTACTGATCTTGTGACTGAGCATGTGACTGAGCATGTTACTGATCATGTGACTGAGCATGTTACTGATCATGTGACTGATCATGTGGCTGATCACGTGACTGAGCATGTGACTGAGCATGTTACTGATCATGTGACTGACCACGCCACTGGTCGTATGACAAGAGTTGCCTGTTTAGCACAGTGTGCGAACCTACGACCATCAGGGTCTGACAGGTGAATGATTCCAATTTTGGAGTCTGAAGAGCGCAATCCTCCCAGGCCTGCAGTACATGTATGCATTCATTCCCGGGAACAGTTCCCCCAAACAACATGCCCTAGTGAACACCCGACCTCACCTCTCAACAGTTTTTCCTGAACAAGGTACGCAAGTACCTACACATCAATTGCTGTTATTTGGCCAAAGATTCACGGTGGGCTTTGCTCCCGGCGGGATGCCCGTTGTGATCGCTTTATGTGTGTCCTTAAAGGCTGGTCCAAGAAATATTCGAATAGTCAGCATCAGTTGGCCATAAGCTCTTTCCTATTTCACACAGACCATAGGAGTCATGGTGAATGGTGAATGGGGGAGAAATAGACCACAGGGTGGTCATTAGTGTGTGTACTGTAGTCCAGCTGCCAGGAATCACTCACGCACCACCATCACCCCCCCCCCCCCCACCACCACCACCACGCACACACACACACACTCGGGACCCATCACACACATTTCACCTTGGTAAGCAGGGCGTATGTATGATGGTGTTGGTCCGACAGGACGCTCGGTGTATGGTATGGCTGTGAACGACTCCAGGGCATGGCTACTCAGACACAACACAATACAGAAAAACAACAAGAGAGAGAGAGACACAGAGAGAGAGAGAGAGAGAGAGAGAGAGAGAGAGAGAGAGAGAGAGAGAGAGAGAGAGAGAGAGAGAGAGAGAGAGAGAGAGAGAGAGAGAGAGAGAGAGAGAGAGAGAGAGAGAGAGAGAGAGAGAGAGAGAGAGAGTGGGAGAGTGAGAGAGGGAGAGAGTGAGAGTGTGTGTGTGTGTGTGCGTGCGCGTGTGTGTGTGCGTGTGTGTGTGTGTGGGTGCGTAGGTGTGTGCGTGCATGCGTGCATGCGTAGAGACAGACTGAACTGCACCAAATTTTAGGGATAAGGGCAAAAACCAGGATTGGTGGACAGAAATTTCAGGTACAGAGAAGCAGCTCCCTATTGGATAGTGTGTGTCAGTGCTTGTACGACTTTCGATATCTGCGGCTTGAAAGACATGAACTGAAAGTACCGAAAAAAATAAAAGTGCAACAAAAATTTGTAAAATGGGATCTATGCATCGAAGATGGCCGTCGCCTTTTTTGCAGGGCAAGTTACCCCATTTTTGGCAGGTACAACCCGTTATAGTACATTTATGAATATGACCTCACAAAGTTCATGACTGTTTATGCAGAGTTGGTATGACAGTGTGTACGGTTGTAGTGGACTTGCCATGCAAAACATAACGGCGGGAAATGGATACATACGTGACACGTCCCATTACGCGCTACTCCAGTGTATGTTCCCTGAGGGTGCGTCAGAGCTTTTAACACACTGCTGATAAGATTCGGTTTTGAATACATTCCAGTCTACATTATCAATCATGGTTTGGTGGTGGTCCACTGAAGCGGTCAGGTGTTTCTTAACCCGCCCTGTACGCGAACCCGAGCATTTTTTTAAACATTACTGATAGGGATGAAACGATTACACTGATTACTCGGAACTTACTCGGAACTTACTCGTTAGCTCTATGATCCCTACTCGTTATGCTGTTATGGAGTACAGTATGCAGTACTTGTACATCACGATTGTGCAGTGTACATGTGTATAGTACTAGCTTAGTCACACTGTCTGCACTGCATTGTCAACCCCAGCACTGCCCCGCATCATCCAAGGTGACAAAATAATTCACACCTTTTTCTAGTCACATTGCACATTTGGGATCCGGTGTTAAAAAATAATTATGCCGATGCGGGCCAGTGACCCATTGTTAATTTTAAAGTAGAATGGACGATACACAAGCATTAAATAAGCCCTACCAAAGCACATCGAAGCCACTCCAGGCGGTCACACGTGATGGCATTGTAGCGACGCTGTGTGGATCGATCATGCCCAGGTCTGGACGTAGCGACTTGTGACCAATTCCTTTTGCATAACACACCCACAAGTGCATGCGCAAATGCACATGCACATGCACACACACACACACACACACACACACACACACACACACACACACACACGCATGCACGCGTGCACACACACACACGCACACACACAGAAACACGCACACATTCGATATCAAGTTCTTGCTATGGAAATGTATTGGGGAGAGCTTTGCTAAACTATCCTTACCAGTCTTGGAATTCATCGCTGTATAGTCAAACACCGCAACTCCAGTTGTTTCGCTTCCTGAAGAAGACAAGCGAACAGAAACAAAGGGAATGCATCAAACCCATGTGAAAGCCAAGAGGTTAAACTGCTACTCATCGATCAAGGTGAAACGACACAAAATAATGGTTGCGACTTCTGCGATATTCAATTATGTTTTACAAGAAATTTTGGTTGCTCAAGATGAAACAGGACTCAAAATGTTTGGGCCCAACGAGCTAGGGTGTGTGTGTGGGGGGGGGGGAGGGGGGGGGGCAGTAGAATGGCTTACCGGTACCAGCTGTTGTAGGCACTGCAAACGTCGATGTAGGCACATGTAGACATGAAATCATACAAGCACATCATTATGACCACACACGAGCACACATGCACACGTGCACACACGCACACGCACACACACACACACACACACACACACACACACACACACACACACACACACACACACACTGGCGGAAACAGACAAGTAGATCTAAATCAGCAATTAATCACAAGAGGTCATCTCACAAACACCTGTTCCCATCTCACACCACCTGTCCTCAAAATGCACATCAACATCAAAACTCAATTTGTTTAAGGACTAAGAACAAATGTCACGTCCCAGAATAAGACAACTGCTGCCTGATAGTCCTGTGATAGCAGGATCTACATAGTAAGCAGCTCTGTGCTGAGCTGTCACGCCCTTTTAGTACAACATGGTTTGGCCAGTGTCTTGTCCCACGTGCTTAGCATGTAGGTTGAGCGACACGCGCTTTCCCACGTAGGTGACATGCCTTCTTGGCATGACACGTTATGGGATCCAAGGCCGGAACCTGGTAAGGTAGGTTCTCGCATTGTACGTTTCCTGGAAGTTCTTCACTTCCTGGAAATGTGACCCCAGGCTTTGTGCAAAACCACGTCACTACGACGTTCTACAGGTTTCCACGATGCCTCGGTGCTTCGTGCAAAGAGCCAAGACTAATATGACATTGTATAACAAGAGCTAAGTGCAAGACAGGAGACATGTGCAAGAACCAAAACCGTCACCGCGCAAGAGGTCAGAGTATCACGCAAGCAAGACCAAGAATGCAGCAGAACTTACCATAAGAAGCCGCTGAACTATGGCACGTTGGGTGAGCGGGCTCCCCAACGTGACCCTCATATACTCACATTGTACTCTGACGTGGGTGAGCGGGCTCCCCACGTCCCAATTTGGTCTTTCTTCTCTCGATGTCTTTCTTTCTCTTTCTTCTCGAATGATCACCGTACGTATATTCTGCATTTCTGCTGACTGGCTGCGCACATTCCGGTTTGACTTGTTCTGCTATTTCCTGGAATTACCTCGCCATGATCACGCCATTATATCTCTGAAGCACCCTATAAAAGAAGCTCTCATTCTCTCTTTTACTTCAGTTCTAGTCTAGTCTACTCTAGTCTAGTCTAGCAGTCGAGACTCGGTCTCAGCTCTCTGTCTTCGTTTACTTTGAGCTCGGATTTGATACTACTCACAACGTAAAACTAACAGTCTTTGTCTGTTGATCGTGTGGGGTTGAACTTGGACCAAGCCAGCTATATTGGTTGGCCCCTGGGTTGTGTTGGGCTTGTCGTGAGGCCACACGTCTATATTCAGTCGCCGCTCGTAGTGATTTCGGGGTCCGGTCACTGTGAGCCGGGGATGCGACACAAACATTAATATACTGTACACGTACAGTATTTTTTTTAAGTATTTCGCTCCTGCTCTTGTAGCAGTTGAGCACTCTCGTGTGGGGTAGGGCTTTGCTGTTTGCGTTATGCAGAGCTCATTGACTTGACAGTTTGAGCACTCTGGCGAGGTACGTTCTGGCCTGGTTTTAATCTGGCTTTGGAAATTTTATTTTTCATTGCTATCAGGCTCGACCTCATTTTCTCTGTGCTGCGCTGATGAGTCCAGAAAGGACGAAACAGTTCTGTACGCAGATTGCGTATGATAATCATACGTACATAAAGTGCGGTTTATACTCCGGAAGAAGAGGTTGGTGCGACTTCGGCGATAATTGGGGAATTGTGTGTTGCTCCCTACGTGGGACTTGCGCTATTTCTGCCGACTTTAACATCAAGTCATGAGTCCGTCAAGTGAGAATTCAAGCCGGCAGGAATAGCGCAAGTCCCACGTAGGGAGCAACACACAATTACACTCCGGAAATACCGTATTTCCAATCAATAGTTTTTTGGGGCTGCTTTCCCTTTAAAAACCATTTTTGTGACTCTAGATGGGCCAGAAAGGTGTCCAATAGACGGACGTGCCCGGATTAGGGGCACGCCGCACAAACGCTACAATCCAGTTAAAAATATAGACGCATATTTCAAATTTGGCTGGAACCTTTTGAGAATTTTCTTCGGAATTTTGCTTATGTCTTTTCCCAATTATTCTCATATAGATTTTCGAGCAATAAGATAACAAACGCGAAATTTCGAAAAAAAATTATGCACAAAGTGATCACAGATTTTATGTGGTATAGATGATGGTCTAACGGTTTTTCAAAAATCACGAGTCTGTATTTTTGAAACGCACTGACTGTATGTAGTGTAGAGCAACGAGCAGCATGCTAGCAACCAACAAACACATGGGAATAAAAAAAGAAAACTGGAAAAAAATTCGACCACGCCAGGATTCGAACCTGGAATCTCCTGATTCGTAGTCAGGCGCCTTATCCGTTGGGCCACGCGGCCAGATCACATCATCAGAACAGAATATGCCAGTGTCAACTGACTAAACTAACCAAGCAATCACTTACATGCAATAAGCGGGTGAAGGTTCGGAGGTGGCTCCTGGCCTTTGCCCATCGGCTGGTTGACGAAGTCAAAGATGTCGGCATCGCGAGCTACGCTGAGAAGATTAGCTACCTTGGCCGTGTCTATCACGGATCCACCGCCAACCGCAACGTAGCCGTTTAGATTGTGGTCGCGTGCAAAATCAACTGCCGCCTGCATGCTGCAGGAGTGCGTGTGGAAAGGGATACGGGAGCCGCGTGTGAACATTCACATACGCACATACCCACAAACATGTGCACATACGTATATGTGTGGAACATTAACGCACAAACGCACGCACGCACGTAAATACACATGCACACACACACACCATACACACGCATGCACGCACACACAGGTGCAAATATGAATGGAACCTTATACAGAGCACCAATGCCATTGAAGAGACAAATGCACTCCGTATGGACATGTATGTGGGATTGTGACTTGGGCAAACTATAGTTCAGTTGCGTTGTTGTGAGTGGCGAGTCGGATGGGCGGGGAGGCTGGGCCCCCGACGCCTGGAAAACATGTGCTGGTGCACAAAAATGCATTGCATCTGACAACGTCCCCGCGTTTTCTTCAGCAGCCACTCACCTCTCTGTGTTGGGTTCGATGCGAACATCTGAGAACAAGTGCACCTTGCCGCACGTGGATTCCAGAGAGTCGAGTGCCGTTCGAACCATTTCCATGGAAACCAGCTGCAGTAGCCATGGCAAGGCAAACGTGCACGTACGAATAGAAGTGAATTCAGTTCTCGACCTGCTTGACAAACGTGGACAAATGTAGTCCTTTAAAACATTGCTCGTGACAAGCAAGGTCCCGGGTGCGAGTCATGGTGGGTTGGGCATTTTCAGTTAGCTCACTTCCCCAACTGATCCTTTAAAAATGTATTCCTTATTACATTTTACGAAATAGTGATAGCTACTTCGGCGATAATTTATATAATAAGGAAGTTGGTTGCTCCCCACATCAGAGCTCGCGCTTTTCCCGCCGCCCTGGCTTGACACTTGACTGACTCGCGACTCCCGTCCAGAGCACGCGGGAAGTTCATCGAACCTTCGACTCTGCGGGAAAAGCGCACGCTCCCATGCAGGGCGGAGAAACCAACTTCCTTTGTCCGTATTCGCTAATGATATGGAGGGGGTGTCCGTAATACCCACAGCAAAGTGGAGGTAATGGACCTGTGTGCCCTCAGTTTGGAGAGGGTCTTGCCGCCATTGTATCCTTCGGGTAGTGTTGCTCCTCTCAACCTTTTTAACTACCCTGAATGCACAGATGTGCGCCATGAAATTTGGGAATGAAAAATTTGATTGAAACATTTGATTGAAAAATAGCTACTGTAAGAGTTGAAAGTGTGACAAGTCTAAATTTAAACGATTTGCCAAAAATGTCCCACTTAGCGGGCACAAACGACCCTGCCATTACACACCTGTCTTCTATTTCTCTTGTCACGAGGAGAGAAGGGTACTAAAAAAAAACGTTAGAATTTGTACCCCGTTAGAGATTTAACTCTTACAGTAGTCAAATTGCGACAAGCAGCGGAGTGTCTGGAGGCCCGAGGAACACCGCACAAACGCTAGAGCCATGCAGACCGGCCCACACACCGAATAAAATAAAAAAGTAGAAAAAAGTCGACCACGCCAGGATTCGAACCTGGAATCTCCTGATTCGTAGTCAGGCGCCTTATCCGTTGGGCCACGCGGCCAGGTCACATCATCAGTACAGAATATGTTAGTGTCAACTGACTAAAGTAAGTGCTCAGGAGACTGTCCGAACCAGGGAGTAGTACAATACGGTATTGTACTACTCCCTGGTCCAAACCGTATCCGCAAAACGTCATGTTGAATGAAGCATTGGCGTGCAGGTACATCTATGTAATTGATTGGTATCGGTCTCTTGTCTTATCCGTGATACAATTACGCTCATTATCTCAACTCGTCCGTATCCGGAATGAACCTTCCAAATTTATCCACGTAAGTACACATTGGCACCCAAATTCGTGGCATAATGAATTTCCTGCCACAAGCTTCTGAGCAGGCATATTTTCATCACCGGAAGATAATTCCCGAAGCTGCAACGAAAGCGGCTGAAAAGATGGCTAGATGGCTCTAAAGGAGACATGGTTCAATCCGCAAGGACACTCTGCAGAAACTTCACAGCGGCCACCATACCAAGGCCACGATCTGTTGAAAAGAGAAGTTCAATGTACACATCATACATCGGCGGTGGAGACTACGAAGGCTATACAAACTGAAAGGTTTGCATGGCGGCTGATCCGCACAGCAGTGTCAGTATTACCGAAGAATAGTACACAGAACAGGAACAAAAGCGTATCAGTGGAAAGTTGCAAGCCTTCTCCGGGAACTGAAGCGGTGACAGAAGGGAATGACGCTGAGCGACAGTCTGCCAAAATCTGGCAAAGGAATGGCGGCCGATGAGTCTCTGTCAGCCAAGTGCCCAGGTTGAAAACTCTCATGTAAACAGGGTCCACGCCCATACATGGCTAGTTTCTCTTGTCTAACCCCTAAGACGGAAAAAATATAGTAGCCGACTGGCCGAAATTATTAGAAAAAAAAACAAAAACAGCCTGGCTTTTCAAACCTCGGGCAGCGCGAAGCGAGCGACAAACTGGGGTAAAAAAAGTGGAAAAAATCGACCACGCCAGGATTCGAACCTGGAATCTCCTGATTCGTAGTCAGGCGCCTTATCCGTTGGGCCACGCGGCCAGATCACATGAGCAGAACAGAACATGCCAGTATTAGATTAAAGACTAAACTAAGTACTCCGCAGATTGTCTGTGCTTCGACAACTTCTTTTTTGGTGAAAAGCTGCTGTGACGGTACAGTCAGAGCCGTGGTAAGTGGTTATAACTTATCAGTCTCATATCTTAAACTTAGTAACGTTTACCATTTCAGCCACTCCGTATATGGAATGGAAGTTCCAACTCTGTCCATATAAGAACCGTGATCTTGGTAAATGAATTCGTGGCAGAGTGAGTTTCCCACAAGGTTGTGCTTCGTGAAATTCGATCTAAAACGGATCTTGCTTAACAACTGCGACATGTGAACAGTGGAGTGCTCGGAGGTCTGAGGCTACTCGACACCTGGCACAAAAATCACTCGTACAACCACTTTTGATTCGTACTGAGCACCACGAGTACAATCATGTAGTTCCAGATGATTTTAACACCGACTGTTCCAACCCGTCCGCAGCTCTCCCAGTCCGAGATCCCGAATGCAGCTGAGCTTGTCAAGACACCAGCCCAAACCGCCGCGGCGCGAAGCCAGTATAACGTATACAGTGTCTACGACTCCTCGATCGTGCTGATGTCGTGCTGATGTCGTGATGATGTCGTCATGATGTCGTGATGATGTCGTGATGATGTCGTGATGATGTCGTGATGATGTCGTGATGATGTCGTGATGATGTCGTGATGATCTAGACTAGAGTGCACACAGTCCAGAAGCAAAGCAACTGAGACTGACTCGACTGTCTGTGCATGTAGCACCACCGGCATATCATGGTACACTATAAACGGACCTGCAGGCTACACACATGTGTAGTCTGCGACGACGGTGTGTGTGTGTGTGTGTCCACACGCTGTCAAGACCAACAGCACTCGGCCGTACTAGTTTTTGCAGTGCAGTTGATACCCCGTCTTTCAGAACGACGATCGTTGTTGCATGACTCTGAGGACTTGGACCAGTACTGCACAGCTGTTGCTATTAGTATTGTCGTTATGCGCCCGCCATCATATTGTCTGGGATGAGCAAGGTTTCGTTGGCCACCATTAATATTGGCCTTCTGGAGATGTGCGAAATGGGAACGGACATCCTCAAAGTCCTCTTCTTTCTCTTTCTCATTCACCAACTGATAGTCCGTAGCGATGGGCGCAGGCCGCTCTCCTCCTACATGTGACCGTTACTGTAGAACTACCCACACTAGTACCACAATGGTACTAGTGGCCCCGCCGCTGCTGCTGTACCGCCTGTCAAGCAAGCCAGTGACAGAACAACATGCCCATCCACTAGTAGTACTAGTAGTAGTACTCACGCTGATCATCTAGAATGTCCGACGACGTTGCCGACTAGCAACGCTGCCTCAACGATGTGTGATAGTGAGGGACATTCCCTGCAACTTCCAAGTGCCGTGCAAACGTTCGTATGCCGACTGAAGGATCGCTACGGCGATGTTAAGGCAAACGTAGGACGGGGCATGTTGAAGCGGCCACACCGCATGCCCCTAGACTTGATCCTAAAGGGTGGTGGCGTACCCGGGAACCGTGACATTTGTTTCCAACCCGAGCCACGAGGAGCGACAACACATGGGAATATTTAAAAAAAGAGAACTGGAAAAAAATTCGACCACGCCAGGATTCGAACCTGGAATCTCCTGATTCGTAGTCAGGCGCCTTATCCGTTGGGCCACGCGGCCAGATCACATCATCAGACACAGAATATGCCAGTCTCAAGTGACTACAGTCCATTCATGAAAAGATGGACTTCTAGCTTTTGGCCATAAATAGATCAAACTTCGAGAGTTTTTCAGAATTTTTTGGCAAACCCCTATGGAATGCTCTTCCAATTATATTTCTGATGTCTATTTGTCCAAAAAGCAAACCGTAACAAGAGTAGGATTTCGGCCAGGATTTGCTCCAAAAGCACTGATTTGGGAAAAACCAGGCCGTTTCACTCGACTAGCAACAGTACATTGTGTGGTTCGAACAACCCCTTTCCAAGTTTCAAATTTCGTGGCAATGCACCATGCACTATAACCCATGTACTATAAAATCACCAAAAACGGGAGCTCGCCAGATCAGAGCCAGGGCCCATCTTTTTATGAATGGACTATAAACTAAGCACACTGCAGATCGTCCCTGTTTCAACAACACCCTTTTTCCCATTTTTTTAGGATTTCCAAAAGACAGTCTAAATTGAAGGGAGGTCCATTATAATGGGAGACTGTAGGGTGGAAATAGCAAACAGCGGATGGCTAATGAACAGCATAGTTCAAGAAAACCTTCTGCTGAAAAGTGAAAAGCTGGCCTGCAGCTAGTGTGTTTACCCGTCATACCATAACGTATACCATCTAACACTCTTCCGTTTACGGAATGAATGTTCCAGCTTTTTCCCAATAAGGGCGTTTTGTCCCAATAAGGGCGTTTTGTCCCCCCCCCCCCCCCCCCCGTGCACTAAAGGCAGTACTGTGTCACCCCCCCCCCCCCCCCCATTTTCTGTACACCATCCAGGGACATCGGAACTGGTGTGGCAGGTGCGCCGGGCAAAGCCGCAACAATAATTTCAAAACTTGTCAGTTTTTTAAGCAAAAAATATGGGCTATTTGGACCCAATTTCCCAATTCCCATGCCTCTGCAGGGCTGTTCAAACGCAGAATACCTTCCCACATCCCTGCCGTTAAGAACAGCCTACGTCATACCTTGCCATCAGTGAAAAGACCAATGTTAGGTGGCTCTTGTAGCTCCTTGCTGGCTCTAAGGCGCAGCATTTGCTGATCAGATTGCCACCGACAACACAGCACAGCATGAAACAAAAGCAGAGAAAACGAAACAAAAAACAGACTAGAGTGAAGGCTGCATGTGCTTGCCAGACCCTGTACCAAGTGGAATCCTATAATGACCGGACACATTTTCATGCACCAAAGTGCTGTAGATCGAAGGTGCATCCCTGGATCAAGCGGAGTCCTGTCGTACCTGGACGGTTTCCGCTGCACCAAGGGCGCCCGGTTAGGGCAGATTTTACCATAATGCGGTTTCAAAAAAAAAAAAAAAAAGTATGGGCTGCTTCTAGGCAGAATTTCAAAGACGAAATCATCCACTTTGAACACTTCACTGCGTACACACTGGGGCTGAAAATAGTGAGCCAATGAGCTATGGTGTTGCAGTCATCCCAGCAGCTAACTAAATGAATTGTGTGTATTTGTGTTGACCAGCGGGATAGTAGCGCTTACGTGGCCAACTTCTCTGGTGACACCGGGTCCATAGATCACCGATGAAGAGCTCATCTGTACACGTAAAGAATATAGATATGCACGCAAACAAACATACACACACGTAAGTCGTTACAGTACGTTATTTCGGACATGTCACATGTATGTGTTGTTAGCGCACTGCACACATACATTGTTCTTCTGTTGCAAACATATTCGTCTTGAGTCTATCCTATCCAGTTTTTTCCCCGTCGCTTCCTTCTGAAATAAAGTCCATTTCAAAATAATTAATTATCTATAGAAAAAAAAGCACCAAGGAACTACAAGTTACACTATAATGTCCACTAACACCACCAGCAGCTACTAAACAATCAGCTCGTGCGATAACATGTACAGTGAAGTTCCTTGGTCCTTTTTCTTTTCTATAAATTAATTTATCCTTGGCTTTCCATCCGAGTCCATTCAAAAGTATCTCATCGTTAATTGTCCAAGTGTGGAGATGTCACGCTGCTGCAAGTAGTAAGTTTATGACTTGTTCAGTACAACAGTGGAGGCAGTGGTGCAGTAAATGGATTGATTGAAGGCATCTGATTGTCGCCTACACCCGCACTGACCTCAACCGCATATTCCTTCGGCTTCAAGCCATGATCCCCACTGCTGCTGCTCGTGCAGCGATGATACCGTGCTATACACACACATAGACACAGAAACACAACCAGATATGTATGCACAATGCTACACACACACACATGCACACACGCATGCACGCACACACACACACACATACGCACACACAGACAGACACACACACACACACACACACACACACACACACACACATACACACACACACACACACCAACACACCAACACACACATACACACACATACACACACATACACACACACACACACATACACACACATCACAATCTGCAAGCACAATGCACTACAACAATTTATTCGAGACAACAGGGGAGCAGTCACACACGAACCATACGGAAAAAAATAGCGGAAACCTACGCCAGAACTACCCAAACAAGCTCATGCAATTCGTGAAAAGATTCTAAAGAAACTATGACTCCTAGGAGTTTAGAGAACACCAAGCCGATACACTTACCACCGTTGAATGCTTGCGAGTGAGCAGGGCACATACATCTGTCAACGGGAAGAGATCAAAACACAACGGAAATACGGCTTAATGTCTGTGGTGCCTCCTTTGCACCACGGCTGGTAGCTCGGCTTGCTTAAGTTAAAGCTCGTAGCTGTACTGCTGAGGCCTTTATGGCCGAAACAGCTTGCTGCCTACAGCAATGGATATTATGGCTGGCTACGTGAAGACAAACGGAGATATGTGTAGTGCACGTACAGCGTTGTGCTCGATGAAATCCGACCCACAGTGCATACTTGCCACCTCCAACTTGCACGGCCCTTGACACCCCGGAAGTGGTACGAAGGCGTCTGGACGTACTCATGTACAAATACAGTGATGTAATTGGAACTAGTCCAGGGTGCAAGTTTCGTACTTCATATTAGGATGGATTTCAGTGAGCGCAACTGTACTATGCACGCTATACACCGTCACGTGCAGTATGCAATGCACACAATCAGCTGTGTGACCAAGATCTGGACTAGGCAAAGAATGTTTGACATATCAAACGTTCGCTTGCCCTTGATGATTGCGTTCCCAAAAGAAGAAGGGCTAGCCAACACCACACACATCGTCGGAAATGTACAAATCTTGTTTGCGACTGCGCCTTGATCTTTGAGGGTGGTGGCGTTCCTATGGATGGGAAAAAAGTTAAAACTCAGCTCAAGCGAGTCTTGCGCGGACCGTGAATTTGTTTTGCTTGTCAAATGCAGCATTTTGGTAGCTGGACCGGTGTCACTGGTATGGCAATGGCTAGGGACATGGCCGTACCTGGGTTTTTTTTTAATCCCAGCACTCTTCGGGAATGTTCAATGTGCAACTATGTGGAAGTATGAGTACACTATCCCCCCCCCCCGCGAGCGCGCAATGTGCAACGTGCTAGCGACTCATATTGTATTACATACCGCCCATAAGGGCGCGTTCAGACTACCGTGAATCCCGTCAAACCGTGAATGCCGATAAACCGTGAAGGACATTCACACTACCGATAACAAACTAACGTTACCGGTACGTGCGGCACTGAGAAAGGATTTTGCGGGATTTTCCCTTTTTTCCCAGCCTGAGCACTCTTTTTACTGCCGGAAAAGTTCTACTGCCGCAGCAGCCGCGGCAGTAAAACTTTTCCACCGGTAGCGTGCCAGTAACGTCACGTGATCAAATCACCTTGGAAACTTTCCCATTCCGTAACTTTTTAACAGTAGTCTGAACCGCCCTAAGCAGTTCCGCTGTGTGCTTAGCGCCCATAAACAGTTCCGGAGTTCTGCTGACTCGTCGTTATGACGTCTTTCGCATAACCTATATATCCGGGGTGCTGTGCGATTTCCTTTACTGAACCGTTACACCATAGCTGCGCTTCAATCGGTACAGACTTCTAATTATTTTCACACGAAATGTTTAAAGTCATCAGGGTTCCAGCCAGGTAAAAATAGTAGGGGGGGGGGGCATGGGAAACACTTTACCCCGAAACCCATTTTCCATGTTCTAAAATTGTCTTGCCATGGAAAATGCCACGTACGGGGCAAACCCCTGACTTCACCCCAGACAAATGTGCCTTTATAAACCCTCTAGTAGTGACTATCGACTGCATTTCCGTAATATGGCATGAAATAACACAAAAATCGGAAAATGAGTAGGGGGCGGCACTTTTTCACAGGGGGGGGGGGGGGGGCACAGGCAGAGTAGGGGGTGCTGCTAGTCATCGGCGGATAATGCCGGCATAATTTTGAGCATAATCATGGCTTTCTGAAAAATAGCATTGCCAAGCATAATTCAGTTGATCCTTCAGCATAACTGCTGCATAAAACCACTAGGGCCTCAAAGGTTAAAAGTTCACCGTCCAGAGTCCGTTGTTTGTTACAAAGGCAATGTAAATAGATCTACACCCGGGACTCGGCAGGGAGTCGTACCATACCACGGTATATATCTGGCACGGCTCCGTGAAAGGGCCTGATCTACACTCAGTGACTGTAAATGTAACAGATATAAGTAATGTTTAGGCCGTCAAAGGTCAAAAGTTCACCGTCCAGAGTTCGTTGTTTGTTACAAAGGCAGGGGAATCCTCTGGCTTTTGAATTAGTGATCAGTACATGCATGTAGCCTCTGTAGGATGTGGTCTCTCAAGCCAAAGCTGCCACTGTTCGACTGGTATTTCTGTTATTGTTTACAAATTTCTTGCACATTATTCTCCCAGTGCATATCTGAAGTCATGTTGTCAATGCAGTGTCATGCACAAGTCACTGCAGTAACTCTGATTCCATTCTATTATTATTTATTGAAACTAGGAAAAATGGTAGCACCTACATGTTACCATGTACATGTATGTGCAGTGGATGGCCCACGCCTGGTATAAAGTATTACGTAACGTTAAAGAGAAAAAAAGTAGTAAAGTGAAATGAGGCTCAAAGTCACAGACAGCACACGGGGTCGCCGTGGCAAACAAAGAGAGAGAAGAAGGAAAAGAAAAGATAAGAAAGAAAGAGAGGTAAGCAACTCCATATACATCAGCAGTACCGGTACTTGTGTCATACGCTTACAATGAACACTCAGCATTCTATTATTTCTGTACATGATTATGCTTGTAATGATGTTGCAGTGCCTATTGCCGTATCCTCGTTCCTTCTCCATAGCCGAGATTAGATCTTCTTAAATTAAAATACACAGTCATACATGTCGAACAAGTAACGTAGTTGCGTGATGTGTGCGGCCTTCATCCTATTCATAGCTATATTAGATCTCTTTCATGCAGTTTTCTCCGGGAGTCCACGTTTGATACCGAGTACACATTCTATACATTTTAGTGGCATTATAAGCATGAAAGAGCACAGTGTCATGAAGCATAATTTGAGCATAATTTAGTGATTTTCAGAGCATATTGCCAGCATACTGAAAAGCATAATCTGTGTGATTTTCGAGCATTATCCGCCGACGTCTAGGTGCTGCACCCCCTGCCCCCCCCCCCTTTGGCTAGAACCCTGGTCATGTTCTGACGACGTTGGTACGTGTACTGTAGTATGACGACATTGTACTGGCCGTTGATTGACACAAACTGCAGCAGTGGAGCTGCGATTCAAAAGCACGACTTGAACAAAAAAAGCGGCTAATGCCGCATAAATCGAATTGCTCGTGCCACAAACAAGATCAGACAGGTCAGAGACAAACAGGGCACTGATCGCGGATGCCGAGACCCGGATTGGTCGACGGAGCCTGCAGCACCCCAGCGCCATCACTGCCTTGCATTGCAGCCTCATTCAGTCAACGTCCTGTAAATCTTGTTTGTCTGGGTTTTCAGTTCCTCTTCTTTCTTGTTTTACGAATTGGGTGCGTGGTGTCAAGTAAAAAAATTGAAGAAAACTGTGCAGCTAGCTGGGAACTACTTGTAACTTTAAAAAAACTAATTGCAATTTGCACAACTCACCGTCCTTGCACTGATGCCAGCACCTTTGCCACAGTGTTCCGGGACGCCATTACCGCACAGCTAATATAAACAGGCCGCCTCTCGCGTTGCACTAGCCACTGCTGTGTCCACGGGTACGGTCCACCAGGTACGCGCACGGAACGAGATCATGCAGAGAAAGCTCACCAAAATACTTTCATTCACTCCACTTCAGTTTAGAAAATTATTTTGACGTCGACCTAGCTCTAGCGATCTTGTCAGCAATTGTCACAGTGTAAGACATGCATAGTAAACTCGGTGGCTAGCTAGGCTAGGCTGTCAAGTCGATCCGGGCGGCGCGGCCCCGAGCTGCCCGGACAAGCGTACTGAGTATTAATTTTTTTCTTTATTCGAAAGCTAAAAAATAAGGGCGCGTGCGGCGCGCAGGGTCCAGCTTTTTATGAGCCAGGTCCACGTGGCTGGTCCATGCAGCCGTAAACATTGAAAATGTGAAAGGGACCATCGCAAAAGTTCGCAGAAGCCCCCGAAACGAAGACCGTGAGTTTCGGGCCTGACCCCCCTCCCTCCCCCCTCAAACGAAACGACAGTCACAATACGGAGCATCAGCAAATCGAATATTCGAATGAAATTCGAGAATCGTCACGAAAAGCACTCAATCAGTCGAAACTAGGGCTTTGTTCGACTGAAAAATGCCCGCAAACAGAAAATACTTTTCGAATACTTTTCGAATGCTCCGCGCGTGCTCTAGTACACGGCGCACTACGAGTACTCATTCTTGCGCATGTAGCTACTACTAGTTCTTACTAAAGTACTAGTCCGGACTTCTTGTCAATCTTGACGCTTTCCTCTCTCTCGAACTGTGAAACGTTTTATCAAGTGTGCATTTTGTTTCATTTCAAGTATCCTGGAATCATGGCTTTGTCACCAACTACCAGCCCCGGTATGCCTCCTGCTCCCAGTACTGCAGTAGCCCTGCTGGCGTTGTCTCGGCATCTGCGTCTATCGTGAGTTCCCCGCAGGGAGAGGGCAACTCAAAGTGTGCCAAATATTTGAGGCGGTCGACCTTACCATGTATCTCATTCTGCTGAGGCAGTGTAGGGCCCACCCTCACCTATTCGTCCGCAAATCTCCTGATACATGTATGCAAGGGATAGCGGAGGAGCTCGGCCGAGATCCGCCTTTTCAAGGGGTCTCCAAGAGAGATCCTATCGCCAATAGCCTGAATCGGATGAAGCATCCGCCGCTTCGCGTCATCCCCAAAGGCAATGAGAAACAACAGCAACTCCGTTCATTGCACATCCCAAAATCCCAGTCCTCAACTGCTCAAGCTAAAAAAAAACTCGATTCGAAAATACTGGACTGCGCTACATGCTGAACCTCTTTTTCATTCGAATTTTCTCTCTGATTTTCTTTTTGCCATTCGAATAATCAAATCGAAAATTCGATTTGCTGATGCTCCGTAATATGGGCTTCATTTTTTCACTTGGATGCTCACACATAATAATTAATACTACACAAGCATTGTTGTATCAGTGTGTAACAATTATGTACAGCACTTTATAAATGCAACGATGATATCACCTTGCAGTGGGTGATCTAAGAACGAGAACAGCTAGAGCTATGCAGTTGTATCCTTTGAGCATTACAATGAACGTTGATTGGTGTATATTGCTTTCACATTCAAGCGATCTACGCCGGCTGTGATGGCATGCTAATCCTACAGTCAACACTTTTTTGAATTGAAGCCCGGTTTGCGATTTTCGCACCGACTCCCTCCCCGGCCCCCCCCCCCCCAAACGTATGCTCTTCGTTTCAGGGGCTTCTGCGAACTTTTGCGATGGTCCCTTACTTTTGGCCTTACAATTGTAGGTGCTACATAAGTCATTTAGGACTGACTAGTACTACAGGTCGTCCCTCGTTAATACATAATCTCTGGGACTTGAGAAATGTTATGTATTAACGGGGTTTATGTACTAAACGAAAGTGTACATAACTTGCTTATGTACCAGAATTTTTCACTTTTTTCAACTGTTCTGAGTGTTTCTTGCTACCATGACAAGAGAGCGAGATATTCTTGATTCCCTCGCTATAACATAAAAATTATGTTATAACGGTCACAGTCAGCGAAGATTCTAAAAATTATGTTATAACGGTCACAGTCAGCGAAGATTCTAAAATTATGTTATAACGGTCACAGTCAGCGAAGATTCTACAGTTGTACGTGATACAGGTCTACTCTCCATATAACGTAATCTCTGGGACCACGCAAACATTATGTTATATCGAGAGTTATGTTATGTAGAAAACCGTGTGTAAAATACAAGATGCACCTCAAAATGAAGGGTATTGCAAGGCGGGTTCAACCGTGCAAACATATACACACTGTACCACCATCGACATCAGATACCATCAATGCCGCAGAATATATGCACATAGGACTAAACTGGCTAGCTACGGCTACAGCTGGATTGTGCCGCGCACGTGAATCTACGTTGTATCGAGAGTGTACACGTTGGGGACTGCGCCGTAGGGTGCGTTATGCCGAAGTTTACGTTATGTAGGACTAAACTGGCCTAAACTGCCTAGCTACAGCTACCGCTTGATCATACCGTGCACATGAATTTATGTTGTATCGAGAGTGCGCACGTCGGGGACCGCCGCAGCGTGTGTTATGTCGAGGTTTATGTTATGTAGGATTATGTTGTGTAGAACAACATTTGTATGGGAGTGATGCTGTTTCGGCGCGGGATTTGACTTTTTTATGTACTAACGAGGTTTATGTACAAGTGAGAGTTGTTATATCGAGAGCAGACCTGTACATGTCCAGCCGCGCCTGTACAGTCACTCGGAAAACACAGAGCCTTGTCGGTTTGTGATTTGCGCTCTGATTTCTGAGCTACTTGCGTCCACAAGTAGAAACTAGAACACGATGTGCCTCCACTCGAAGGCCAAAAGACCAACAAATTATGTACTATTGAGGTAGGTGGCATGCGGGTACGGAGAAATGTTATGTACTAACGGGGTTTATGTACTAACGGATTATGTACTAACCGACAAAATTTGTATGGAAGTGACCACGTTTCGTCCGGGACTTGAGATTTCTTATGTACTAACGGGGTTTATGTACTAACCGGACTCGTATTAACGGGGGACGACCTGTAGTAGTAGTAGTAGTAGTAGTAGTACTAGTAGTAGTAGTAGTAGTAGTAGTAGACCTACATGTACATGATTGTACTAGTAAGCTGTGTAAAGTCTACCTGGCTGTAGTGAAACCAAGATTCATGCAAGAAAGATCTACGAGTACGAGTACTAGTACTACTTGACACAATCTTTATTAGGAAACTTGAAATGGAGATGTGAAACACAAATACAGCCATGTAGATGGAGCAGCAATGCAATACAATGTCCAAAAACTCAAGAATTCATTATCATGGGGCAATGTTGGGCAAATGTCTGTCAGGTACTATCACGCTCAGGCTGCCCGCAACCTGCACATCGTCGTGAAATTCATCCTGTTGCGGCGGTATGACGATCTTGAACCACGCAAACAGGTGACTGCCCATCGCATAAGGCAGACTGACAGCTTACAACGGAGCTGACCCATGATAACCGATACGTGTAGGTCGACGTTCTTCTCTGCAATCAGGCATGCCAGTGTCTTCAGTGCCATTGAACATTCTCTGCCAATCATGCCCGAGGTAGAAAAAACTAGCGGTGTAAACGTACCTCTGTCAACTGCTGTCACCCGCTCTCCGTACTGGCGCTTCTTCATCCGTTCATGCGTTCGGAGCTGGCTGATGACTTCCTGACGCGACAGCAAGCTTGCCTTTGGGTGTGTAACCCGGATGTCGAAAAAGGCATCTTGCTGTCTCGTCCAGAAGCCACAAGCCCGGATGTCCAGGCGGGCACCTGCCGAGCGGTTGGCTGTCCTCCCTTGGAGCCGCTCACCATCATATGGTAGTAGAGGCGGTTCCACCTCCACATCCCGGACCGCCTCACGCATCACGTCAGCCAACAAGTCCCGGATCTCATTGTGGCGTGCCATGGGGTAGCCCCCTGCCGGACACATCATCGCATGGTCTATTGTGTTTGCAGCACCACATACACAAGTCAGGGGGAGTCCGTCAGGCTGCAGGCCGTAGCGGATGCAGAACGCATCTCGGAAATCCGATTTGTTCAGCACCATCTGCATTTGGGACGATGGTTCCGCCGTTACCCAAGATGATACGCCCTTTTCCGCGGCATTCTCCACCAACAGCGCCTGTGTTGCTGTCAAATCCGGGCGCAATTCGCTAACGAGACCCGTGGCTTGGGCAGCTTTCTCTCTGCGAATACGCCCGGCCTCCTGCCGGCTGAGGGCTAGTACTAGTACCAAGAGTACATAACCCCCCCGTACTCTTGCTAGTACCAAGAGTACATAACCAAGAGTGTGCAACTGCCTGCACAACTCTGCTCTATGCTGTGCTGCGACGGCAGAACTTCACATCACGTGACATGGTCCAAAAGGTTATGCTGGCAAACAGTGCAAAGTGACCACAAGAGAGTTGTACCCAAAGCTGGGCTGCGTACAACCCAGTATCTACATGTATCATGCACTAGAGTGCACGGGTTCATCACGTGATGTGAAGTTCTGCCGTCGCAGACCCCATAGAACCAAAAACTGGAAACCCCAATCAAACATTTTGACCAGTAAAGCATGTGATATATATCTGGGTCTAACGGCACTTGCAGGCATAGAACAACACTCTTTGATGGTACATTGGAGCACATGCCTGATGAATCCAACAAAACAGGTACATAGCATGGAGTTAGCATGTCATGAATTCATTACATCTGGATTTTTACTAGGACACACACCGTACGATATTTAAAAGCCAACAAAAAAAGAAAAAGAACACAAGACAAAGGCATGCCCGGGAGGCAAGATTATAAGTTTAAGGTCATGATCGGCACACTGTGAAACTACACAATCATGTATTTACAACTTCGCATATTATTGGTACTACTACTTTCTTGTTTTTTTTTCCATTCGGAGGCAAAAAGGTACGCGGGCGCGGACGTTAAACAACGAAAAAAGAAAGGGTGGCCTTATGTACTCTTGCTAGTACTCGTAGATCTACTGTAACTGTTACTTCAAAGAAGGCACGAAATTTTTGCCACTTGGCTTGTCAGCGAGAGATCTACAAAAATAATAGCTACGCAGCCTGTAGTCTTGTATGTTGTATTCGTCCAACTCCAATGAAAGGGAGTTCGTCCGGTTGTAAATAATTTCGTCCATGGATCACAGCCGGACAAATCGACATTAGTCCGGCATTTAATTTAGTCCAAAAGCTCCTTGGACGAAAAAGACGAAATTAAATTCCAAACGAATATCTCTGCTGTATGATAGGCCTTGACGGATTATGCTAATATTTTCGTGAAATTATGCTTTTCGCATTGCTGAAAAAATTGCAGAATTATGCTATTTTTATGCTAAAAGCTATCATATTATGCCGCATTATGCTCACATATGCTGCTAATGCATAATGGTTCTGTGCAAAATAACAAGGGAATTTTTTTTTTGAGGGCGTTGTACTGTAGTAGCAAAAGTTCAACGGGGTCAACGCACCGTCCGACCTACATTGTAGCTACGACCATCACTGATTGTTGTGGACTGGACATGACTGTTATCAAGGGAGTCGTAAACCTACAACTTCCTAGTGCATCTACTTGTACTTGTAGTTGTAGAACATGTACAACTGTATGGAATTTGATGCGAACAGGCGGATTATTACAATTTTATGCGATTCGTATGCAATTTGCCTCGAATTATGCGATTATTCGATTTTGGTAGGAATTATGCGAAACATTATGCTAGCATAATCCGTCAAGGCCTACTGTATGATCTGGCAGGTCCAGCTCTCACAAAACGGTCAGAGGATTCAGAGACAGAGGGTCATGACGTGTGAATGGGGGCCTGGCCAGGTGTCAAACAAGCAAGGGCAACACACATGTTTCATGTCATGACATACACCGTACCACTGCCTATGTTTGGAAGATTTCGAGTCCGCGATTCGTGTGAACAGGAAGGATTTCGAGCGCTAGCTAGCGCTAGCGTCACGGATATGAACAAGTGACTGCATGCATATTCATTCTTTTTGTGAACAGTCAGTCTATCCACAAAAAGAATGTAGTACGATCATGTACGACTCGTACACTGCCACTGCACTGGTACTCGTTGACGTCGTTGCGTGAAACAAGGCGCTAGCCCTATCGTCACCTGACGACGCCGCGCGCGCCGTCGACGGCGCGACAGTCTACAGAACAGCAGATCTGATCTGATTTCTTGAAGTAAAAGGTTGTGAAAATACAGCCGTGTCGTACGATCGTGTGGCTGTGACAGTGTGCGTGAGGCCAGAAGAATGGCGGACCAGCAATTGGGGAGGTCCTGACCTTCAGCACCGTTACTAGCGAGGACATAGATCATTGTAGAAAAATTCTCGCCAACGGCGCGACGCCACGATCTTCTTGAAATCGCTGCCCATACAGACCGTTCTGCAGCACTGAATCCTTACTCCAATCTTCAATAAAATCCTGCGTGCTCCGTAGCTCCAGTTTTCTGCGGCAGCTGTCGTTTCTAGCGGCCTTTTGATTGCCCTGCTAGCGACCATGTTCAAGAAAAGGGCCTCTACGAAGCAGGGCAAGACGCCGATAGTGGCCGTGCCCTCGTCCCCTGGTGTAGCTGCTGTTCCCGGTTCAAGTATTCCCGTATCGCAGGTGAGTGTCCGGGCCTTTCCTTGCCAACTGCATGCACATCGTAATGCAAAATAATAAAATAAAAGAGGTGAGAACCGAACGCAGAAGTGGCGATTTCGGACATAGGCCTAGGCTACAGGCGCGGGTTGGCCGCGCGGGCACTCTACGACTGGTCATGCGTTCAGCTGCGAAGAGGCGTAGACACTCGCCAACCTGCGCAGCCTGGCGCTGTGACGGTTGTGTTGTGGGCCCCTGTGTGGGGCCTGCTCCGTCTTGGCTGCACTAACGGCATGACTGTGTAACATCGAATAATACTATTAATAGGCAGATCAGACAATCAGGGTCAAAAGGGTTGCAAAAGATTTGGAAATGCATGTGTTTTGGAGGAAATCATTGACAAGGCCATTGAGCGATAAATTTTTAATTGCCCCTACATGTAATTGCACATTACAATGCCCTGCACTGCATGTCTGGCAGTGGGCTGGAGGTAGGTGCACGGCAGTGTCCAACGTGACACCTTATGCCTGGTCCACACTGGGTCGGTTTTTCGGCCGATTATGGAATCGTACGAAAAGTCCTCAAGATCGGCGCGAAAATTGCCTGGTGTGGATGGTGCTGTCGCACACGTTTCCGACAATTTCAGTGTGTGTGGGGGTGGGGTAGTCCGACCCAGTCGGCTGATTTCATGTCGGAGTCCGTGTCGGAGCATCGGCCGAGTGTGGACCATGCCTTAGCCTACTGCTGGAGAACAGCAGTTGCGCTCCGTGAAATCCGACCCACAGTGGGAAATATTTTGCCCCATTCCCCACGTGTTACATGACACCCTAGCATGTGCATTCATGGCCAAAGAAATCCGACCCACGTGCCGAAAGCAGCGCTAAGGCTCATGCGGCCCTAGGATCGGGTTTTGGGAATGTGCATGATGTAATTGAAATGGAATCTTGGCGGCGCTACTTTTGACTCGCGGGTCGGATTTCTTCAGACCATAGATGTATGGTGGTGGACGTGCAGATGTACGGTTACGGTGATGGAATGGTAACTGGTTCAGGGTACTGTACCGGCTTTTGAAGTTTTGAGTTTTGCATCAGGCACGTCCCTTGACATCCTAGCACATCTGCGGGTGTACACATACACATGTACAAATAGCGGTGATGTAATAGGAACTGATCAGGTGAACCGAGTCTGTAATCTGCATGGGTTGGATATCCCCTGGAACAACTAGACCAGTCTCTACTGTATCAGTATCAGGTGGACAGGGTTGCAAGGTCGCGAAGAGGTTGCCCGTAAAGTAAAAACTCGAGCTCGTGAATATGCATGCGCCGCCGGTTCCGAGGAAGCGCGCCACGGGTGCGGGCACTACGAACGGTGGGCTGTGCACTGGCACTGTGTGCAACAACGTTGTCCGCCGCACCAGGGTGGACTACTCACACACATACACACACACACACACACACACACACACACACACACACACACACACACACACACACACACATGTACACACACACACACCACTGCTGTACGAGTGTAGTCTCTACGCTGTAGTTTAACCAAGAGTACAGCATGACCCGCGAGTGTGTGCAACTCCACTATCAGTGCTGTCCCGACAGAATTTCAAGTTGACGTTATTTTTACGATGCAGTGTGCAGTGTACACGTATTCTCATACTAGGTATCCTGGACCTTTGGCGGACACATCCCCATTTGATCCTGTAAAAACCAGATATGTTGACACCCGGTAAAAATGTCGATAAGTCACTTGTCGAGCATTGCTTCATGAGAATTGCCTCAACTTGAAACTCTGTCGGGACAGCATGGTATCTGGGCGTTGCATACACTTCCTCTTTCACATGCCCAGCGCTGACGCGATGATAGCAAACACGCTTTATTAGACATAGCGACACACATACGTGCGCGCGCACACACACACACACACGCTCGCGTGCGCGCGCAAACTTCGCTAGTTTCTATCAGTAGCAAACCAGTGCTTGCACCATTTTGATGCCACAGTGCTATTTGCCCGGTAGTATTTGGTATCGAGTGATAACCCATACCGAATAGCACTGTTAGTGACCTAAACTAGCTCAGGTTTCCATTCCGTACACATTAGCACTTGCTTGCCACTCCGTACAGAGCGCATAATAATTATGGTGGTCTCATTTGCCTATCCTGTGTTGCTGTGGTTCATGGTACATCCCAAAGACTTTCCTCTTGTGACCTCTGTGATGTGTTTGCATGTCTGTTTTGTGTTTCAGGAGGAGCTGACGTTAGCAAACTCCGAGTTCAACGTTCACAAGATCACCGATATCCAGAACAGATTTCATGGAGGAGAGGTAAGCCACTGCATGTTTCAACCTGCTGGCTACGAACTCTACAGACTGGTCCCCACCACCACCACAACCACCATCACCACCACCACCACCACCACCACCACCATGGCCGCTGCATATTCCCGTTGTATGCACCACATGGCATTTAGTAAAAAATAATTAATTAAAAAAACACATTCTCGTGTCCGAGTAGTACCGTAGCGTCTTGTATTTAAAGCCTGCCGTGTATAGAAGTCTGTTTTGAGTTATAATCCTGATTTTCAAGATGCACTGTGGGCAAATAAGCCTGACTTTAGTGTTGAGCAACTGTTGACATGCATAGAAACACCTCGTTTGAATAGAAACTTAGCACTGACATCGGCTTCTACCTGTTACATGAATAAAAAAAATATAAAAAAATTCACGGTTCGCGTGAGACTCGGCCAAAGGCCCAGTTTTCCGCATCCGCAGGAACGCCACCACCCTCTTGGATCAAGGCGCAGGTGCAGTGCCTAAACGGTGGGAGGTGAGTAGATCAGACCCACCACAAAGTGGTCAAAGACAGAAAATCCCATTAACTGCATCCATGTTTCCCTCGTGCCAGGCCACGAGTTCCCAATTAATTGTGGGTCGCAGCACGGCTGGAAAAAATCCTTTCGCTTCCAAGCAGGACTTGAACCTGGATAAGCCACGTTTTAGTACGCCACATTACGTTATCCTCAGTACCAATGATATTGATTATTGAAAACCCGGTTTTTCCTTACCGTAGGCTAAAAATGTACTTTTACTTAGACTTGGGGGTTGGGAGCTGCACACCCATGCTTTTGGATATGCCAAAACTAGCTTGTCACGTATTCTGCTCTCGTTTCCCACCTGTTTGCTGCTGCTCTAGGAGTTACTCGTGGCCGGGCGTATATTCGTGCGTGAGGGCACACTGTTGAAGGTGTGTCGCAAGGGACCCAAACCTCGCCAGTTCTTCTTGTTCAACGACATACTGGTAAGTATACTAACTTAGGTATTCTCTAAATTACACAAGAGAGAGAGAGAGAGAGAGAGAGAGAGAGAGAGAGAGAGAGAGAGAGAGAGAGAGAGAGAGAGAGAGAGAGAGAGAGAGAGAGAGAGAGAGAAGAGAGAGGAAGGGAGGGAGGGAGGGAGGGAGGGTGGGAGGGAGAGAGAGAGAGAGAGAGAGATTGGAAGCTGTGTCGCAACTCTGAGTTTCACGTATTACTACGACCCATCAGGCAACTGATGGCTCCAAAACGGGCAGCCTGAACATACGGGGGAGCAAGGTGAGAGAGATACTGAGGGGAATCATAGCGTACGAAGCAGGTGCAGGCAAGAAGTTGCTCAGTCTTTCAACTTAGGGCTATGCAGCAGCAGCAGCAGTTCCGGCAGTATTCTCTAAATTAGGTATACATGGAGGGGAGTGAGGTGATGCCATTCATGTGTGCATATTGTTGCATTGCTCTGCCTTCCATCCATCCACAACTCCCTAGTTATAGACCCGTGTTGGTCCCTGTCCCTTTTTTCATCTGCTCTCATTCCGTTTCTTTCCCGATACCTTGAATACGCATGGACACGTGCACGTACGCACTCGCACACCTACACACGCACACAAACACGCACGTATGCACACACGCATGCGCGCGCTGACACGCACATACACGCACACACACACGCACACACACACGCACACACACACATACACGCGCGCGCGCGCACACACACACACACATACACACACACACACTCGCGTATCCCAACACCCACTCTCATTTCCTGTATGACCCCTCTACCTTTGCCCTATGTTCTGCAGATCTATGGCACGATACTACCAACCAAAGGTCGCTACGCACAGCAGCATATACTGGACCTAGAACACATGACCGTTACGTCCGACTGTCACTTCATGCCTTCCGTATACACTGCACACTCTACGGAACTTGATGTCGGTAAGTCTGCATTCATGGGCTTTTAAGATTGCTACAGATCTACCCTCGTTAGTAGATAATCCGGGGGGGGGGGGGGGGGGGGGGGGTTCGGATTGTTTGTCTTATAGCGAGTATTATCTACTATCCGGATTTGAATGTACGCGTTTTAGGTGTGTCAGGGGATTTTTGATCGTTGTCTTCTAATGAGGTTTGGCTTGTAACCGATGTCCTTCTACTGAGGAGGGTAGACATGCATATTATAGAGAGAGAGGGGAGGGGGGGGGGCTCTGGCCTAGAGGTTAGTGCACTCGTGTAGCGTCCTCGTGCATGAGTGTCCGCTCTCTTATACACTAACATTTGGTTTGCCTACTCTGTTGATGGACGCGTGAGCAAAGTTTTCCATAGGCCCTGATCCCAGCCAACTAGGCACAGATACTCTTCTCTCTCTTCTTTGGATGCCAACATCTTCGGCGGAATTCACAGCTCACGTTTCTGAATGATTGGGCATTGAATATCCAATGTGCATGCGAGCATATGCATGTGTTTTCGTCCACATTTTGTGTGTACCCGCATGTGTGTGCCCACATGTGTGAATCCACGTGCAAACATGTACACGTCCACGTGAAAAAGCTAGCAGATTGTCCCTTTGCTATCATTGCCGTCGGCAATGAGCATGTTCAAGGTTCAAGGTGTCTACGTGTGTTCACATGTGTGTGTGTCCACATGTTTGTGCGTGTCCGTGTGCGTAGACTCTGAGAATGCATTTCAGATCAATCACATGGAGAAATCATTCCACGTCTTTGCCTCCTCGCTCGCCGACAAAGCTAACTGGATTCACAACCTGAAAAAGTACATTGCCAAACGCACCATGGGCAAAAGTAAGTTATGCTTCTGTGTATCACATTGCAGGTATGTTGTCTGCAGCAAGGTAGATAGCGATGTAACTTTGGTGGGCTGGGGAAATTCAAGGAGTTTCTGCGTGGAACGGACTCCTTGCTCCAGCCTTTGAAGAAGTGGACTTCATCCGTGTTGTCCACTAACATCATGTCATGCCTAGCTGTTTCGACTGTGTGTTGTCTCTGCAGGTTGCTTGGCAGACATGTGCATATGTTTCTAACCTTAGCTGTACTGTGTGTTTGTGTGTGTGTTTGTGGGTTTGGGTACGTGAGGGGTGTGTGTTTGTGTGTGTGTGTGTGTGTGTCTGTCTGTCTGTGCACATGCACGCACGTGTGTTTGTGTTTGTGTCTGTTTTTGTGGGCATGCACGTGTGCGTATGCCTGTCTCTTCTTGCGCATACTACCCATGTGTGTATACATGACTGCAGACGACCAAGGTAACTTTGCCATGAAGGCGGTGTGGGTGCCGGATGCCCGTGTCAACCATTGCATGGGGTGCGAAGTCAAGTTCACAACTTTCAATAGGAAGGTGAGGCTGGCTGGCTGGCTGTCCGTCTCATACAAAAGTAGTTAGCGAACCACGCAACAGGAGGAATACTTGATAGTGATGAACCTTAACGTTTCCAATATCTTAACGTCTTCCTCCTATTGTGTGCTTTCCCTATCTACTTTTGTACGTGATGTATTTTGTAGCTGGACTCCTTGTTGGTGTGTCATCATTTGAAGAATTAATTAAGCTCTTGCTTGATGTCTGGCTGGCTGGCTGGCCGGCTGGCCGGGTGACTGGCTGGCTGGGTGACTGGCTGGCTGGGTGACTGGCTGGCTGGGTGACTGGCTGGCTGGGTGACTGGCTGGCTGGGTGGCTGGGTGACTGGCTGGCTGGGTGACTGGCTGGCTGGGTGGCTGGGTGACTGGCTGGCTGGATGACTGGCTGGCTGGGTGGCTGGGTGACTGGCTGGCTGGGTGACTGGCTGGCTGGGTGACTGGCTGGCTGGGTGACTGGCTGGCTGGGTGACTGGCTGGCTGGGTGGCTGGGTGACTGGCTGGCTGGGTGACTGGCTGGCTGGGTGGCTGGGTGACTGGCTGGCTGGATGACTGGCTGGCTGGGTGACTGGCTGGCTGGGTGGCTGGGTGACTGGCTGGCTGGGTGACTGGCTGGCTGGGTGACTGGCTGGCTGGGTGGCTGGCTGGCTGGGTGACTGGCTGGCTGGGTGGCTGAGTAATTACCATGTATTAGGTTGCAGTTTGTGCTAAACCCTGCCCTGGTATGGGGGCAGGACCGCCGGAAGCAGTGTTTGATTGGTCTGGTAGTAACATGGCCTTTCATACAGTTTGTGTATGATATGGCGGGTACACATGCCCTCCACAGTAACCACCCAGTTACTTGAACTAAACACGTGTTGCTGACCACACAGTTAGTCCGGTGATAACCTGGTCAGCCGGACCGGTTCCGGTGGCACGCACTGAGCAGACAACGTGCTGGGTGTAGACCAACTCAGTGGGCCACACCAGGTAGATAGGCGGCTGGGTGTGCACTGCGGTTCACGCCGGGCTGATGACTAGTCATCTATAAAAAAACACTACATGCCCCCCCCCCCCCCTGCCTTTTGCATGGAACAATTCTGTAAACCAATCGCTGAATGATTTTGTTCACCCACCATTAAAGGAATTATATTCACTGAATAATTGAATAATGAAAGGATTCATTCGCTGACCGTTGAAGGATTCTATTCACTGCCTCATCTCTCTCTCTCTCTCTCTGTCTCTCTCTCTCTCTCTCTCTCTCTCTCTCTCTCTCTCTCTCTCTCTCTCTCGCTCTCCCTCGCTCTCTCTCACTCTCTCTATCTATCTTCATTTCCCTGTCTCGTTGTCCTTGTTTGGCACAGCACCACTGTCGGTTCTGCGGCAAGGTTGTCTGCAACGACTGCTCTCCGCATCGCGTGGACGTCAGTGCACTGCGTGGCGCGGAGAAGCCCAACGGCAAGATGGAGAGAGTGTGCAAGGAGTGCTTCCACCTCTCCCAGTCCGATCCGCACAAAGGGAAATGTAAGAGCACTGATACTGCTGGCAATCCGATACCGTCTATCTGCATGACCGCTTTAAGCAGTTTTCGATTGGTCCGGTCGTACCATACAGTTTGTGTCTAATATGCCGGGGGACATACATGACATTGTATGCCCTCCTCAGCAATGAATATGCGTTGGTAGCTGCAAAGCTGGTCCGGTGTTAGCCTGACCAACCGGACCGGTTCCGGCGGGCCTGATCCGTTATGACCGGGGAGTATGTATGGAGTAGTCTCACATCTCTGTCATGTGACTATAGTGTAGATTTGTGTAGAAAGTGATCATGGCATGTGGACAGTGAAGCCATCATGGCCGACATCACGTGACCTTTTGATGCAGGGGTTGACTGGCGTTGGGAACCAACATGGCTGTCTCGTATGTGTTGTATCGATACTTTCTCCACCACCAGTCTCTCCGGAGGCATGGGTTCGAATCCAATGTTGCATCTATACTTTCTCCACCTGCTCCCAGCCCCAATGCCATCTCCACACTTATACAATGGACGACGATAACTACATTTAGAGGACTGTTTATTACAAGACGACTACGGAAGCACAACTGGACTTAACGAATTCAAGACGAACACTGCTTTTCACACCAATGTAGTACAACATATGGTCATGTGACAGTTTTCGTGTTGTGGCCCTTGAGGCAAGGTTTCACATCCATGCATGAATCATGTGATGATGTGTTGGATATTGCATCACCAAGCCTCAAGGGCCCGGCTGCAAAACTGCGGTTAGTTGTTGAGTCATGGTGCTGCGTCATGGTAGTAGTTGTAGTTGTGGTAGTAGCATTCTTTTATTTTCCATCGGAAGCCTCAACAGTGATGAACACAACTCTAAGAGGGCCGAGAACAACGTAGAGGGGGTGGGTTGAGAAAAAAAGTCGAGATATAATTATAAGCGGCGGTGTCATTGTGTGTGGGTGTGCTCCCCCATTCAGCTCCGCCGACCAGCCCCGCAGCAAGCCCGCGTTCCAGCATGCGCACCAGCAAGCCGACAGTGATTGACTCACGCAGCGGCACCACTCCTGAAGCGGAGTCCGTGCTAGCACAGGCGGGGGTAAGTGTGCCAAAAATATTTAGAACAAAAATGTTAAACAAATTCACGGTTCGCGTGAGACTCGGCTGGAAACCGAGTTTTCCGCATCCGTAGGAACGCCACCACCCTTCAAGGATCAAGGCGCAGATGCAGCTCCTAAAGCGGTGGGAGGTGAGTAGATCAGCTCACCAGCAAGTGGTCAAAGACCGAAAATCCCATTCACTGCATCCATGTTCTCCTTTACAACAAAATAGATGAAATAATATAACAAGCAACGTAAGGCAAGGAGGACACAATGACAGCACTAAAATATCAAAGGTGTGATTTCTCACGAAAGCAATGATATTTTAGTGCTGTCATTGCGTCCTCCTTACCTTACCCCGGCTTTCTTGCTATATTATTTCATTTATTCCAAAACAAAAAAAAACCACGGTTCTGGAGGCCGCATTTTCCGCATCCGTAGGAATTCCACCACTCTCTATTGATCAGTAGAGGCGTTATTCTCACTTCACACGTGCACAACACGAGCACGAGCTGAAGCCGTGTTGATTGTCTGGGTTCGAGGATTCGTAAGAGCTCTGCAAGCCCTGGTACGAGTCGCAACAGGTGCCTCTCTTGAGCTGTACTGTCTGCTTAGTTATGTACTCTTGCAAATTGTTAATGAAGATCATCATAACGATTGTTCGCATACTCGGCAACTTATAGAGCTTATACCACTACGGTATCATGCGGTAGTCTGCTCTTGAGGTTCGTGGTTTCTCGTAAAAAAAAATTAAAAAAGTAAATCCTGTCAAGGCGACCACTCGGATAAGGCAACCACCTGTCCCAGAAGACCACTGCAGCCAGGACCAAGGGATGCTACTTGCTAAGGGATGCTATTTCCAGTCAAATGGCACTGGATAAGGAGACCGCCTGGTTACAGAGACCACACTTTGAAGGTCCCTTGTGCGGTCGTCTAAGACAGGTTTCACTGTAATACCATGGTGGTGAACTAGCGGATTCGCTGGGCGGCGCTAGGTGTATAGTGTGAGTCAACGGGTTCGCTTATAGGAACACTCAACACCGTATACAGCAAGAGTCGGCGGTTTCAATGAGTCGCTCTAGCTACAATCCATTTCAAAACTATAGACGGCGCACCTAGGCAAAAACCGTTATGCCAGCATCTATACCACATAAAATCTGTGATCACTTTGTGCATAATTTTTTCCAAATTGGGCGTCTGTTATCCAATCGTTTAGAAACTATATGAGAGTAATTGTGGAGCGGACCTGAGCAATATTCTGAAAACTATTCTCGAAAAGTTCCAGCCAAATTTGAAATATTTCAAAAACACTGCGCGTCTATAGTTTTGAAATGGGCTGTAGTGCATCACTATGCCGCGACCTGGACAAAGCTCTCAACTGATGATGTTGTTGCATAACCTCCATTGGCAGCATGGCTGGTAAGTCCCTTTTGCTGTTTCCATATTTCTGCCGTTTATCTTGTGTGTAGTTCACTGCTTCTACTGATGGTGGTGCTGAAGAGGAGAAGAAGAACAAACGACCTGCTCCAGCGCGACCTCCACCGCCAAGTATGTACAGGGTGAAGAATGATGGTTGTGATTATGTGTTGAATATGTTGTTGCATTTGCGATTTCTGGATTGATGGTCATATGCATGTGCATGTGGAAGGGGGGGGGGGGGAGGGTTGTTTGTGTGTGTGTGTGTGCATGTGTGCGTTCATGTGTGTGTGTGTGTGAGTATACATGTGTGTGTTCATGCACGTGTGTGTCCGTCCATCCGTCCGTCCATACCGGGCCATTGCTAGCTTGGCAATTGCATACACTATGACGCAAACATCACGTTTCCATCTCCACTTTAACCTTTTCATCCCGTGTTCTCAGGCTCACCGGCACCTGCAGAACTTGTGGAGAAGGCAAAGGAGCGGCGACTACGGATAGACAGTGGTACGTTTGACCGACCCCGAAGCAAGATGAGCTACAAGGAGAGAGGAGATACTGGAACGGCCGGCGAGGCTGTCGAAGAGGGAGAGGAACAGAATGTTGACATGTACGACGAGGTAAGTCCGCTATCCAACACAGCGCGTACCAAACCACAAGCACAGTCATACCTCGGTTATCCGGACCCAGGTGTTACGGGTACTTCAGTCCACCGGGCGCCCTGTGGACGAGTTTTAGTGGAAATACTTTTACTCTATTGTCACTTTTTGTGGAAATAGTGACGTCATAATGCATATGTATGGCCTTTCCCCATCAACATGTATGTGATTCGGAGTTGCAGGCATTTCAACGTTACGGACAGTGCCCTGTCCCGGACCGCCCGGATAAACGAGGTCTTAGTGTACTGAGAGTCAACAAGTATTCGGCGCTGATCTATTTTCGGCTATTGTCGGCCTGGATATTTCTGGCAGAAAATTTGCTGCGGCTGACATTTTGTTTTGCAAGGTTCAGTGTGACAGTGCATACAGGCAGCAGTATAGTACAGACTGAAATTTGAATGCTGTCGAAATGTGTTTTTGCAAGAGTAGATAAACAAGAGTGTGACACTCGCTGATGGGGTGGCCCACGACGGAAATGTCTGTTGACGTACCGTGATATTTTCTAAAACGCACTCCCTGCGAATCTTTTGGGAAGTTTTGCCTCGTGCTCTAGGCCGGGCTTTACATTACGAGGTCCGGTGCCCAGCACGTGCTCTCACACTGCTCTGCGGCAAAATGCGCGTGCTCTGTACGACACACGTCATGTTTTCTGAAAAGCGTGGCGTCAACAAAACATTCTGCTGTGGGCCGGGGTATCTGCAGATTGTGCAGAAGAGATGCGGAGTTGAACACTTTTGTTTATCTACTCTTCGTTTTAGCCCTGGAGGCTGAAATTTCACCGCTCCGAAAATGTGTACTTGAGTAGACTTTGAGTGACCTTGTGTTTCTGCCTTGTGGCATGGCTTTAGCGCCATCCACGAAACCGCTACCATACAGTCGAATATCTTGAGATTGTATATTGTTGTGTCGTCTTCTTGCTCATAATCTCCTCCATTGGTCAGGATGTGATAAATGAGGGCGAGGAGCAGTATGTGGGCAGAAGCGACTCGTCGTCAGACGATTCCGACGACAGTGCGGAGATAGATCTGGATGACGTGGAGGAACGCGATCCGTTCACAATGCAGCGCGCCAATTCCGAATGTGAGTGCTTGTGCGCGTTCATCAGGGCTGCTTGGACAGCACCTGTTGGCAGTCTAACGATGGATTCTGTTTGTAAAGAACTGTGGAGCCTCCGTTAGCAGACAACTCTTAATATGGGACTTAGTCTTATCCAGAATGCGTTGTTCAGTCCCAAATGGTCTTCTCTCACTTTGTATGTAGCATATTTTCCCGAATAGAAATCTGGCACCTTTTTATGCGTAGCTTCTCGGACCATCGGTTGTGACAACCTACCTATGTGAATATTTATTGAAGCTCAGACCTGAAAGTGGAGGTGCAACTTATATTCGAGTGCAACTTATAATGAGGAGAAATACGGTAATATTGTCTTCCTGACCACTGATTAAAGAAACACGTACCTAATCGAAATTCAGCATATTGAAAGGTGACTGACGTATCTGTCATGTTGCGATGTTGCCCGTTGCTGCAGCACCGCTCCACGGCTCTCTGACTGACGAGGGTCTGGGCGAGATGTGTCACAAGATTGGCAGCAACATTCGCCTCTCGTCCATTGATGTCATGGCGACGGATGGAGAGCTGCATTCCATCATGATGCAGAGTGTACCGGATATTGTAAGTTTACAATTTGACGCGGGCGCAGTACCCCCTACCCCCCCCCCCCCCCCCTAAGTCTGGGCAGGGGTAGGGAAGTAAGGGGGGGGGGGAGGGGGCAGGGTCCACTACTGTTGAACAGTGCAATGCTGATCCCAGTATACTCACATGTACACTCCATGCACTCCGTATTTGGCAAAACTCCCTGGGCTTGTTGGAGAAATCACTAACGCCAAGAGTACATAACCCCCAGAGTGTGCAACGGCGATCCAGCTCTGTGTAGGGTCTTGGTCGAGCGGAATCGGATCTTCTGATGTCATGCGTACACTTCACACCCGCGCAAGGCCGGTCTCGAGGCAGGGCACCATTGTTTTTGATCCAAGAGTACCCGCGACTCCCCGGGTTCCCCTCAGATGTGTACGGTATTATGACGCAAAGATCCGATTCCGCTCGACCAAGACCCTATGCAGAGCTGGATCAGGCGTTGCACACTCTGGGGGGTTATATACTCTTGCTAACGCTGATCAGTTGCTTGAGTGCGGGGTGCCCATCCAAGAACACACACACACACACACGCACACGCACACACACACACGCACACGCACACACTGCAAGTGGGACAGTTGATTTCCAATCCAAGTAGTACAGCTACCTATGCCATGTGTCAAACTTTTCATTCTGTACCTGGTTGATGACTGGCTGTGTTTGTGTCCGTGTGTGTATGTGTACGTACGTGTGTGCATGCTTGTGTGTGCACTCTCGGTAGGATCGCCGCGTAAACGTCGAGTGTGGCAAGTGCAGTAAAGTGGTGAGTCTCCATGACTGTACCTACTGCCTATGCTGTATCACATGACTGTGTATGCAATGTCACATGACTGTGTATGCAGTGTCACATGACAGTGTATGCAATGTCACATGACTGTGTATGCAATGTCACATGACTGTGTATGCAATGTCATATGACAGTGTATGCAATGTCACATGACTGTGTATGCAATGTCACATGACAGTGTATGCAATGTCACATGACTGTGTATGCAATGTCACATGACAGTGTATGCAATGTCACATGACTGTGTATGCAATGTCACATGACTGTGTATGCAATGTCACATGACAGTGTATGCAATGTCACATGACTGTGTATGCAATGTCACATGACAGTGTATGCAATGTCACATGACTGTGTATGCAATGTCACATGACTGTGCCTATGCTGTATCACATGACAATGCATGCAATGTTGCATGACAGTGTACGCAATGTCACAGGACTGTTTATATGCTATATCACATGACAATGTATGCAATGTCACATGACTGTGTCTATTCTGTATCACATGACTGTGTATGCAATGTCACATGACTGTGTATGCAATGTTTACATGACTGTGTGTATGCTCTATCACATGACTGTGTATGCAATATGGGGGGGGGGGCATGCGTACGTGTTTGTGCGCATATGTGTCTATATGTGTGCCTGCATGCTTGGTTGTAATCTTCTTTATGTGTGTATTTGTGTAAATGTACTATTGTGCAGTGCACGGGTGGTGAATACGGGTGTCTGCGCAGTGAGTTCCTCTGCAAGGAACACTTCTTCGACCTGGTACGCGACTCGAGTAGAGTGGACACAAGCACAGCATCAAGTAAGTTATCTCTTTGCTCCCAGTCTCTCTGTGTCTCTATCTATCCATCAATCCATCCATTATCTTTTTCTCTCTCTCTCTCTCCCTCTCACCCACTCTCGCTCACTCTCATTCACTCTCATTCACTCACTCCATCTCTCATGAATGGGTTACGGTGGCTTAGTTTTAGTCATGGATGTCATGTTCATGTTACATCTGCTTGGCACAGTGTCCCCATCTCACTCTGATTCCACTGTGTTCTCTGGTGCTACCTGTATCCCGTATCTGCAGAGCCAGCTACCCGTGCCGAGCCAAAGCCTGCTGGCAGGTGAGTGTTGTCACCCTGAGAGGATTTACGTGTGTCTTTTCAGTAGCGGATCCAGGAGGGGTTCCAGGGGTTCCGCGGAACTCCCTAAATTTCGTAGACGTACTACTGGCAACCATATGCATGTCCATGTACATATACCAGTTACTGGAAACTGCCTAATATGCGTGACGGATTAATGTTCGCTATTTTCGCGAGAAGACCATAACGCGAATAATTAAAAATCGCGAAATCTAACTTCAACAGTGGGTGTATGTAAATGACCCCAGTGCTTCGCGAACTTTTGCCATCGCAAACTCGCTGGTTTTAAGAAATCGCGAAAATTTAGTGACGCGAATATTGGGCGGTTTACAGTATTGAGTTTTGACTATACTGGAACCCCCGAACCCCCGGTGGAGATTACTGGATCTGCCGCTGCTTTTCCTGACTTTGTCCTGTACTTCGACAGGACTAACTTATCATCAGACCTTTTTCAATCCTTTATCTACCTCCCTCTTTATTAACCAGTGGGGAATTTGTTGGAAGAGATTTACAGCCAACACTTGGAGCGCAATGTCGCATGTTATATCTCTTACCTAGCTCCCTCGCCTGTACAGATCATTGCTTGTGGAAAACAAACATGGCCATCTTAGCAACGTGCGACTGGGGCACTGATTTTTTTCCAGAAGATTGCACCACACATAATCTACGTGCCCTCCCAGGGGTTGAGGAGTAGCGGAAACAATCAAGGGTTTCTCGTATGTACACGTGCTTATTTGTAAAACCCTTGTCCCTGCCAACCTGTGGAATCCATACACGTGTCATCGATGGATGCTTTTTTTTATCCTGTACATATCCAATTTCAATTTCACCAGTTTACGTAGTTTACACGTATTGGTGCGTTTTCACCTCATGATTTCTGCAGGCAAGCACCAGTTCGGCCGGCACGACCTCGCCAGGACAACGCTGTCAGCCCGGACACAGCGGGACAGCCTATGAAGCCGGTGAGTCTGAAAGCAAACCCATTCACCGCTTTCACACAGCCCATAGTTTTTTTTCTTCTAAATTGAGTGATGCTTGTTTGGTGCATCTGTTTCATCCACTTTCCCAGCACTGACAATGAGGGCAACGAGGCTGGTTGGTAAATGTATTGGCATAAGGGAAAGGGAGAGGCAGAGATATGATCGACTACATGATGAGAACAATACTGGGAAGAAGAATCTACGACTGTGCGTGTGTGTGTGCGTGCGTGTGTGCATGTGGTGGGGGGGGTGCGTGTGTACTTGCATGTGTACGTGTGTTTACGTGCATGCATACATGTGCTCTGTTTTGGAAACCGTCACATTCATATGCAAGCTACGCCATTGTTCATGAGAATCCAGTTCCTGGACTGGACGACTACACACTACTAGTAGGGCTGTATTGATGTGCCCCTATTCAGCTAGAACTCTGGGTAGGGCTGGGTATGAGTACCGTTGCCAGGGAGATCAGGCGCACCAGCACAAAGGGATGTGCATTCCTTTTGGGGAGGGGCGTGGGTGGGTGGGTAGGGTGCAAGAAGAGTTGTTTTTGTGGAAGTGAAACTTATAGCATTGTTTCTGTGCCATGATGAGGGGAAAGCCAAAGGGGTCAGTCCATGTAGGCAATGTCACATTTTACATAGCGTCGGAGCGCTTCTCGTGCTGTATACATGTTGGTTCACTATTTGAATAACAATTATGCGTTGCTATAGAAACCGCGCCAGCGCATGGCAACAAACACTGCGGATGGTCAAGCGTCGTCTACTCCAGCAACGACCGCAGCAGCAGCAGCAGAAGAACAGCTGGAAAAGACGGAAGCTGCAACCGTGACAACCCCAACCGCAGGTACTACCGCCAGCAGCACGGCTAACACCATGGACGATGTGGATAGACTGTAAGTGTCTGAGGTGTCCTTGCTGCAAATAGTGCTCAACACTCTAGCGAGGGCAGAGCTACACAACTACACAAGGCAGAACAACAGAGACCAAAAAGCTTGAGTGCTTTTGAACACGAAACTCGGAGTAACGAGAAAGCTTTTTGGTCTCTGTTGCTCTGCCTTGTGTAGACTGTAAGTGGAGAAAGAGAATATTTAGTCCATCGGAAAAAAAATCTCAGACTCTACCTCTCTTTTCGGGATATGCGCTCCCCATCGCATGTGCTCTCTGGCCAAAGCAGCTGCATGGAGGAGGTGGCATGTGGTGGGCATTTTGAACTACTTGACTCAATTTTGACCGGTATAACATGCGATTCAGGAAGGTCTTGATCTCGCCACCAACAAGCAACTCTGGTTAACGATCCTTGACAGATGCATGATCCCGTATCATTTGTTTATGCGGGCAATATGCGACCTACAGTCAACTTCGCTAATAACGACTGCGGATATAACGACAATTTGCGAATAACGACAGAATTTCCATGCCCAGAGCAAAGTCACATCCAACTGTAATACATAATAATGAGACTTCGGGTATAACGACACTTTGTGAATAAGGACACTTTTCTGATGCTCCGCCGAGTGCAGTTTTACGCAAAGTTGACTGTACAATGCAAACAAATCCGCATCGAAGCCCCTGCGGTCTATACACCTTTATGATTGAACTATTGTGATGTTTTCTTTACATTTTTCGATCACGTTGTGCACAGCTTGACAATGACACCGGAAGAACAGAAACCCGGTGCGGCCTCAAGCATGCTCGTCTCCTTGGCGACGGATCCACCGGGACTCTCAGCAGAGCCGCTAGTCCCAGTTCCCACGGCAGCCGCATCAGCAATGGCTGCAGATGACAAAGCGGCAGCAACTCCGCCATCGGCAAAGCGTCAGACCGAACGGAGAAGAAAGAAATTCAAGTAAGGGTACTAGTTGAACACTCTTCCTCTCAACCTGCTTTGAATCGTCAATGTCGTCCAATTCTTGGATTGTTGTTGTGTTGTCGCTGCTGTTGTCGGCCAATCCTGCTGCTGTTCTTAACTTCCATTTTGCTTGTGCCTGTGTGTGTGTGTGTGTGTGTGTGTGTGTGTGTGTGTGTGTGTGTGTGTGTGTGTGTGTGTGTGTGTGTGTGTGTGTGTGTGTGCGTGTGTGTGTGTGTGTGTGTGTCCCATATGGTGCAGTGGTATGTGCAGCGATTTCCAATCGATAGGTTGCGGGTTCGATTCCCGACGATTATGGTCACACACGTCTTTCTTCTCTTTGTCAGACTCCTCCTGACTTTTCTTTCATTCTCCTGGGTGGTTACCAACAGCCAGTGCATGCCGGAGTATGTGGTGTGATGTGTGTGCGTGAAAGAAATGAAAAAATGAAAAAGACCAAAAAGTAGGGATTCACTGGCCAGAAAAAGCCACTTCATAGCTGTGTGGTGTAGACCAGGCTGAATAGTGGCGGTCAATTCTTCAGCCTTGCAAGCTGTTGAATGGTGCAATCCCAGCACAAGCTGCTATGGCTTCTGCTGTAGCATCGCTATCATCGCCTTCGGCGATGGGCGTCCAATGGTCCAATGGTGTGTGTGTGTGTGTGTGTGTGTGTGCATGTGTCTGTGTTTGTCCGTCCTTGCCTATCAGATCTGCCACACCAGCAGGCGGTGCAAATGCAGAGACAAGTCCAACATCACCCGCTGATACACCAGCGCACAAGACAACGGAAGAGGAACATCCAGCCTCTATAGCAGAAGGTATGTTCATATAATTAGTGTTGAAACGAGCGTATCTATAACAAACGAGCGATCAGTTCCACTAACGAGCAAGCTATCGAGCGAGCTAACGAGTTTCATTGATGTGGCAAATATGATTTTTTGAATAATTTTTTTTCTAAGTTCGATTTTTTTCAGCTGGTTCAAATTATCACCGCCGGCATTTTGGGTTGCTGCTGCTTCACTTCAGACTGCTGTTTGGTGTCGAGATGTCTTTTCAGCGCCGTCGTCGAGTAGCCTTTTGTAAGAATAGACCGTTTGGCAAAGATTGCAAGTAGCCCTGGTCTTCGCTGCATCGCGGGAGAAAACTTCCAAACGACTGAGCGTAACTATTTGCTTTCACTCGAATGGAGAGGTGACCGAAGCATATCCTGCGACAGGTCAGCAGATGCGGAACAAGACATCATATCAGTAGAGTCCACCAAAGCTGCAACGACAACTGAAACAGCTCAAGTGTCGTGCAGGCATACAGTCACTGTAACTGCGAGTGATTTTCACTTTGCGCGGGACTGGACTCTCGATCGACCAGGGAGTGGTAAAATATTTTATGACTCCCCGGTCGACATGTACTGCCATGTGTACGGAGTACGGTGTACAGTGTTTGTTAGTGCAAACGAGCTGGCCGCACAAACGAGCCGAGTTTCTGGCGAGCGAGCTAACGAGTATCCGGTGAGATCGTTTCAACACTATTCATATTGTCCCCTTATCTCCTCCGCGCTCTCTCTCTCTCTCTCTCTCTCTCTCTCTCTCTCTCTCTCTCTCTCATATCTATCTATCTATCTCTCTCTTTCTGTCGTCTCTTGTGAGTCACTTTTCTATCTCAAAAATGGCAGAAATATGTCACACAACTGCGGACATATACAGCTGGGGATCATCTGCAAATCAGGCTTCAAACCTGAATCGAAACGAGCACGTCTTGCTTTTGCACTCTATGTAGAAATGATAGCTCGGGAACACCATGCTTACATACACCCAGGCCTGCATGCATTTCGGTATGAACTCTGCAGCACCTCTGACGGCTAGGGGCCGGTCGGTTACGATCAGCCTGTACACTTATCATACCAAACACAATAATGCTGTCCCTTCCCTGGATTCCAGAGACATGGCTGCTTCGCCGTGGATGTCAGATCAGAGTGACATGCAGCTGACATGTACAATGAGAACGCTGTACGGTGTGTTGGGACTCATACAGTGTTGCCGGGTGCCAACACAACAACGAACGAACAGGCTAAGATTTCACCAAGCACAGCATACCAACGTAGACGCGGTGACTCAACTGTGCATAGTACTTGTAAGATATGACCAGTCTAGGCTACAAGGCAGACCCCAACCCCCACCCACCCAACGGTAGTGTAGCCACGGCTACGGCTCTCTGCCGCGTACCGCCATGCGTTCTTTCCGGTCACTTTACCCCACTCGAACCCTGAATCGATGGGACACATGATGATAGCGGTCATGCTAGTTCCACTATCCACGTGCCATGTAAACTTTCTACACAACATTTAGTCACATGACTATGCTGTGAATCCACTCCGTAAGAAGTTGGAGAATTAGCAACGACTGCTGAAATACTGTTTAGCATGAAAGACCACGCGGAATTATTCGCAATGATTCTGAGGTATTTTGTCTTGCGGGCACGGTAGCAGTGTGTGCATGTTGGTGCATTCTCTCTTCCAGACGTGTCATTCATGCGCGAGGATACCGACTCTCTTGGTGATACGGGAATGGCAGCAGCAGGGTCTGGAAATGCAGTCAGTCCAGACGATAGCAGCACAGGGCAAGCTGTGTCTTCACCCGACCCTGCGACGACCCCGGGCAGTGATTCCACCGCCGAGGTGCCAACAGGCGACCTGCTGGACTTTGGCGACGATGATAAAGGTCGGTGAAGCGCCTGCAAACCTGCCGCCACTCTGGCGTGTTGATCTTTCTGTCTGTATGTATGTATGTATGTATGTCTATCTGTCCGTTGGTCTGTCGGTCTCTCTCTCTCTCTCTCTCTTCCTATCTCTCTTCCTATCTCTTTCTCTCTCTCTCTCTTTCTCTCTCTCTCTCTCTCTCTCTCTCTCTCTCTTCCTATCTCTCCTTCTCTCTCCTTTTCCTTCTTTTCTTTTTCTTCTCACCAGTGTACAGCAAACACAGTTTGAGAGAGTGTGGAAGTGGTGAACTCAGCTCTACAGGGGACTACAGGGCATTATGATGTTATGTGCTTGTTGCATCTCTGCACGATGTCCAACACTCTTTCTGCAACGATAGCTGGAATACTTTCCCTATGCGCGCGTGTGTGTGTGTGTGTGTGTGTACGTGTGTGTGTGTGTGTGTGTGCGCGTGTGTGTACGTGGGTGTGTGCGTGTGTACGTGTGTGTACGTGTGTGTGTGTGTGTTTGTGTACGTGTGTGTGTGTACATGTGTACGTGTGTGTACGTGTGTGTTTGTGTACATGTGTACGTGTGCGTACACATGTATGTGTATGTGCATTTTCATGATAGATGCAACACAGAAGGCAGGGAATGGAGCGGCAGTGGTTGCAGCAGCCTCTGGCAAGGCTCAGTCTCGCGCGGAGAAGCGGAAGAACAAGTTCAAGAAGAAGGATGCTTCCTGAGTTCTGCGCGAAATAATTATGACAACCGATTTGCGTGTCGCTGTTGCACAAATATAATTACTTCGAAAGTATATCCTTATAGCACAAAATTGCATGCTTACTGTCGAGGTTCGATTTTTATTTTATCGAACGCTTCCAAGATTTTAATTAGATAGTATTGTCTTTATTGTACGTCATGTCGCACTGAAAATCACCGTTACCACCAGTGTGAGTGTGTGGTCTTCTAACACTCAACCAGCTCAGTGCACATACGGTCCTGCGAACAGCACATTGGAGTGGCATGCACGCCGAAGCCTAAGTCCTGGGCGTTGATATGCTGTCAGTGCTACGTCCGCGCAGATGGAATGTGCACCTCGGAGAACGTTTGCCATGCTATTTGTCCACTTTCGGTCTCATGCCACTACAGCCAGGGCTTGCCACTACTTACACACTTTGTCGAAGAATTGCAAATGACCGTACAGGCAGATCTATCCTTTGTAAAAGAAATGATAGATCCTTTGAATAGAAATTAGGAAATCTTCCATGATATTTTCAGCCCGTCTGCCTGTGCTTCCAGATTTGTTTAATTTTTCCCCAGTACTTTCTTCTTCTTCTTCTTTTTTTTTGAGATTTCACCTCAATAGCATGTGAGCTACATCTGTTCCCAACTTCTCACTTGGCTCAGCAAGGGCTACCGCTTTTAATTATAGGCACTGTGCGTCATGGTGTGTCGTCATGCAGTATAGCGATTTAATGTGTTTTATAAACACACTTTATAGTACTTGTATGAAACTTCACTCCTTAACTCCATGTCCCTGCACTTCTTGCTGAGAAGGGAACACGAAGAGTAGCAAAAACAACAGCAACAACAACTCTGTGCAGACAGAGAAAAAGCCAAAAGCACGAACACTTGAGAGCGGGTTTATTCCGACAACACCAATCGCATGAACACACTAATACAGAGTAGCAGTCACTACAATGCTGGCAACTGAAATCCGACCCCCCTGAGCGCCGCGCCGCCCAGGGTTCGGATTTCAGTTGCCAGCATTGTAGTACTAGTACTGTTACTTACTAGTATCACCAATATCTCTGCTATGTGCATGCTATGTGCATGCTTTGTGCATGCTATGTGCATGCTTTGTGCATGCTACATGTATGTGCATGGAAGCTCAGGAAAGGAGAAGTGTAGGCTTTCAGTTTCTGCAACTAGCAGTACAGTGTGTGTTTTTTGTTTTGTTTTTGATGATAGATTTTTTTTAACATACAGAGGCAGTGCGCCTTAACCTGCAATACCGGTAGTGCTCAAATGCCCGGAATGGGCAGAGCGTAGTACGCAAGAGGTACACAAAAGGAAGTAAAATAGGGCTGTTTCGTTGTTACTCAGAGTTTCATGGCAAAAACCAATCATCAGACAATAATTTAAAACATACAATAATGTACCTGTAGTAATGCTATGCGTCTCTTCTCACCTGCCACAGGCCAGTAGTAATGCAACCATATCCGCATCAATGTGAAAGTGGTGGACACCACGCAACTGCATTACCGGTATATCGCATGCGCCCCGATTGTGACTGATAGCAACTGAATAGAGCGGTTGTCAGTTGAAAAAACCCTTTTTTCTTCCCCATCCAGGGGCGTAGGCAGGGGGGGGGGTGCTTTGGCACCCAAAGCACCCCCCCCCCCCCCTCAAAAAATTCGATCTTGGTCCACAGCTGGTTCGAGAGAGACTATAGCAGACCCGCTGATCACATGCGCAACTCTACACATCGCACACTGTAGCCATCCCTGTTTTAGACCAGGGAGTACGTACTACTCCCTGGTTCAGACCTGCAAGTACAATGTATCTGAAACCAATCCACATACAGTGGACTACTAGTATTAATTTTTGTCTCATGGTTGGCATTTTGCAATGAAATTTCTAGTCAAGGGAACTCCGCTTCGTACCTGCCGTTGTGCAGTGTCACATCAGGCCTCAGCAGGCTAAGCTCATGATTTGTATCGCACTCCAAATGTTTTGTTAGAAGCAAAGAATCATACAAACACGCCATTGGTAGAAGCAAGGAAGTAGCAACGCAGTCTGTGGCCGGAAAGCACATGTCAGACATAGCAGTTTGTTCTCGCTATGTTTTGTATAATGTAGTTCTCGCTGTTAATTGGCCTCGTTGTGGAAAGGCAACGTTTCTTTCATGCCTTGCAAGTGTGGATACAGCAGTAGAAGAATGAAAGTAACGTTGAAGTGCAGTTTGAGTTTTGTGGGGAATAGTGTAGGTTTGATCAAGGATGCCTTACTGCACTATCAAACATGACGAAGGGGAAAAATGGCTCGAGAAATCCCACTTTAAAAGTTCGATGGAGAGTGTGATAATTCTGGAGAAAGCAGCATCCAGGACCTAGTCCATCATTAGTTGGAAGCAGGCCAGGGTGTAGTAAAATACCATAATTATTACTACTCCCTGGTTGGCGATTTGCCATTCACTGATTGATCTTCAGCGTCAAATTAGGGTCGAATTTTGCTTCCCCCCCCCCCCCCCCCCAATTCACGGATCGAAAAATTGCATGAAAGGACCAACATAAGTGCACTTTTGTGTGGGAGAAAGTCGTGGCACCCCCCTTGATCACTATCCTGGCTATGCCCCTGCCATCATTCATCAATGCATCATTGTGTTAACTTTTTAGCAACAGTTGAGATTATGACCGGCTTCTTGTCATTGCACATGTAGTTTGTACTGTGTGCACTATCCATGGTCGATCAACACCATTTAAATCGCCGTGAAGTTACAGCCCACATTGCCACAGCTTGCGAGCAAGATCATCTTGGTCTAAATTTGGCGCTTCCATCTTTTCCTGGCCTCCAAGGCTAGGAAAGCATACAATCATACTCTCATACGATTAGTACTATAGTAGTGGCTTGATCCTCTTGCCTATGCAGGCTGCGGGAGTGAGGTGTCATGACGCTCCCCGATCCATTGCCCGCGAGACGACATGTCGACGTCGATGGTGTACATCACAGCTACACACGGGCTCTCTGCGTTCCTAGAGATTCGGTGGTCCGTGTCTGGCAACGTGACCGGTCTAAAAATACACGCAGCGATGGCCCAGCTAGCGCAGCAACGCAGCTAGGACGCTCGCAGCTCGACCAGCCGAACATACAGCATTCGTTCAAGGTGAGCACAACCTTTCTTGCTGACCTTCACAACCTGCGACAAAGGACCAGCAGTATAGTAGATCTACAGGTCGAAGAGACGATGCCTCCGTCGTGGTGTCACCCGCCTACGCACCGTACCGTGGCTGCGTTCCTGTACAGCTGACACGGATAACAACTAGGGAAGCGAGGGCTGCATGTGGGTTCGTCGTTTTGTAACTAACTAATACTGATTGAGGTTACTTGGAGAGGAGCTGGCAGACAGCGTTTCGCTACATTGCCCTTGCCACCAATAGCCACCATGCAACTACACGTGTACAAAAACATTCGAGAAATAATTTAAAAAATGGTAACCCTTCGGCTTCGCCACTTTAGCCTAGCTTGAGCTGAGTTGAGTTGACCCAGTGAGTGCCATACAAGTCACACTCAACAGTTACAATGACTGATCACACAGCATGGAAATTGGAACACGATAAGCAATAACCGCACAGGAGGGAAGCGAGTCCGAACCTCGGCCTCACATTCACACAGGAATGCAATCCAAGACACTCACCACGCGTGGTCCGTGCAGCGTTTATATTAGCAGTCGCGCGATTCGCAGAGTGTCTTTTTCGAGGCCGAGGTCGACTAGGTCGTCCCTTGCACGTCGCATTCACAAGTGCGAAACTACACTGCGTGTCTTGCCACTTCTACAACTTTACAAGTTCTAGTCTTGGCGGACTTGCACCCATGGACGCTACGTAGATCTACACGCCGTAGATATACAGGTGTGTACCTCCGAATGCTTAGTTCTAGTTTTTAGTAACTTATTATTTTTATTACTATTATGACGGATAACCCCAACTGCAATGGTACCTAAATCAGCTCTGCTAGTACTTTTTTCTCGGCATTTCCCGCTCAGGGTCACCCCGACCCAAGCCTGCTGAGCAGTCAGTCTCTTTCCTCCTTGCGTTCGGTGTAGTGTAGATCTACGACTGAGAGGCGCTGTGACCGGCGGACGCATTGTGGCCAAAGCTCAGGACGATGACAGATACCAGCCGGCATCTCCACTAGATCATCACCAACTCTGCTGGTCTGTACTGCAGATCGGCTACACTACTGCAGCGCCATGGCGCACTCGTCTTTCACTAGCGACGGTAGCCGGGCATTGCACAAGAGAGCGAGCCGCAGCTAGCAGTAACATGGACGTATCCATGTGTGCTGGTAGCTAACGCACAGCCCGTGCCAAGAGACCGTTACAAAGAATGTAATTCCTCCCAGAGTGGCCGCATAGCACATGTACATACTGGATCAGCGCTCACCACGCGGCAAGAGAAGTGCCCGAGTTTCGCGTAAGCGTATTCTACATGTGTTTTTCCTGATGCTGATGAAAACTTCTGAGAGAATCCGTGCGGGAGAATGCTGTAGACATCTTCCCACACACTTCCATCCGTGAGTGCCTTCGGCAAGCTGTTGCTGTTCGCTTCCCTCGCGGTCAACAACTTTCGACCGATCCTTCCTTGCTTTCGGTGGAGGAAAGCGCACCACACGCAGATTAGATTTAGGGGAACCCGTTTATGGCCACAAGCATCGACGTCGCTTTCGGCTGGCTCGTCGGTTGTTTGAGTTGAAGTTGGAGATAGCCCGTCTGGGCTCTGTGACGAACGCATGCCATACGTTCTGGTCTGCCCTTCCAATCGGCAGATGTGACTGGACATCGGGCACCGATGCAGGTGACTGCTGCGAAAGCTCCTCTAGGGCTGGGCGCAGATTTGCGCAGGTGTGTGTGTGTTCAAGTCTCTCGGCCACATAGCTGCATTCCGGGCCATCGCCATCATCAACATTGACACCACCAGCAGCAGAAGCGAAGTGGCAGACGTTGACAAACCGAGGGCAGGCAGCCTCCAACTCAGACTCGAAACGAGGCCCAAAAGGAAGGAGAGGAACACAAAGGAAGTCGTGATTGCCCGAGCTCACAGTCGGACATGCAGGCCGTGGAGGAGTCGCCCCTGATCAAGGCAGGGACGTTGTCCAAGCGCGGCTCTGGCTGGTTGAAGCGTTGGACGAAGCGCTACTGGGAGCTGCGCTCCGATGGCTACCTCAGCTATTTTATCAACAGTCGAAAGATGACGGTACGGCGTGGTCTCGTGGACGTCAAACACAACCTGAGGAGTGTGCTGATGGGACGCGAGGCAATGGATTATGGCGGCGGGAACTGGCCCAAACAGGTACGTCTGAGACTTTCCATATTGTTACTACCCCGATGTTTGTGTGAGAGAGTGTGTGGCGACTTTGTGGCAGAGCGTAGCTGGTTGTTCATGGGAGGGAAAGACTCGAGGGTCGTGCACTGTTCTGCGAGTGCGTCAGCGGACAGTACTCAGTGCAGTAGACTCCACTATGACTTTGTGACAATCATGTACATGACCTATACAGCGCACTCACATGCGGACTGGAGTGGGGGTCAAGCGTGTCCCTCATCACACACTGACTTTGTTTAGCCACATTCTAAGGAATTACAGTGCTCAGCTCAGTGAAACAAATACAATGATTCAAGACAAGAATGTTTTCTTTTTTTGGGATTAGATTGGCTCACCATCCGAGTTCAACTTTGCACACCTGATGAGCCGTCATTATCAAGACAATAAGTGGATAGTTCCACATGTACTCACTTGAAGTACAGGGTGTGTATGCTATAGTGCCAAAGATATTGGCACCATTTTGAGTATCACTACAACACCGTCGGGTGCCGACAAGCGAACAGGCTAGAAATTCACCGAGCACAGCTGACCAATGTATATACGATAACTCAACTGTGCGCAGACTGTAGTGCATGAAATAAGAACAGTCCGGGGCTACCAGGCTGACCACCCAGTTCTTCGGCACCCACTACATGTAGTACTGTAGCAGTGCAGTAAGAAGGTCCAGTAAAACCTGTGACTAACAACCACCCCTTGGGGGCCGGAGAAAGCGGTCTTTAGTGGCAGGTGGTCCTTAGTTAGAGGTTTGCACCGCACCAATTATAATAATATTATTACGAATGTGAGACGGGCCGCGGCCGTGCCTAGCGAAGTGGTTGGTAGTACCAGGCTGGTCGCTAGTCACAATGGTCTTTAGTTACAGGTTTTACTGTAGTTCAATAGCGGCTAGCCCTTTCCCAAAGGTGCTCGCCCTTTTTTCGCCCTTTTTGGCCCTTTTTGGAAAAGCCCGTTTCTTTCGCCCTTTATTGCGTTTTTTGGTGAATATCGCCCTTTTTGAGCTTTTTTACCTGAAAAAGTGCTAAAATCTGTTTGCGCATGCATGCGATCACAGTTTCCGAGTGCTCGATGGGCCTTGGCACGCCGCTTTTTTGGGGGGCAACAAGTTGGTGAAGCTTGTACTGTACACAACGCGTTAACGCTGTAAAAAGTGGGTTTTTGAACTTTACTTCCTGTTTTGTCTTTCGTGGACCCATAAATGGAAGGGTGCGTATTCATTTCTCAGCTTGGGTTTATATCTGAACATGTATCTTGGCTATGCTTCACTGAAAAAAGTGCACTTTTTGCCTGTTTTCACTGAAAAAAGAGCACTTTTTCAGCATATTTTGAGGGACGCGAAAAGCACTAAGTGCGAATTAAAAGAGCACCTTTGGGAAAGGGCTAATAGCCGCCTGTTGCCAAGAGGACACTACTACTGAGAATGTGCAACTCAACGTAAACCTCCGCGACAACTCGTTTCCGAAATACATCATTTTTGTGATTCGGTAGAAAAATGCATTCCACACGGTGGTCAACCTCAAATCTTGCGTTCATCATGCATACCCCTCATACCTTGCATCGTGAAAACAATGTCCTTCCGAAGACGAGTCATGTGATCGACGCATTGGTAGCCGGACACTCGGAGGAGCTATGTGCGTGTGCATGTGCGTGTGCAGGTACTGTTCAATCATGAATCATGAAAATGATGTCATTCCTAAGACGAGTCATGTGATTGACGCATTGGCAGCTAGCCTGCCAGTCGAAGGAGCTATGTGCGTGTGCGGGTACTACGGTGCTGTTCAAGGAAATCCCATCATGTTACTGTAAAAGCAGAAATTTTCGGTGTGCAATATTTTCGGTGTTCTCCAAAATTGGCGGTTCGGTGGAGGGAACTTTTCGGTAAACCCGTTTTCCAGGTAAGTGTACTAGCACTAGTACTGAACTTTTCGGTGCGTTTTATTTTCGGTAAAAAATGTCGGCACCGAAGTTACCAAAAATATAACACCACCGAAAATTTCTGCTTTTACAGTAGTCGAGTTTTGCGCCCTGCACCGTTTTCAAAGCCCAGTGTCCACAGATCCAGGGCAGCACAGCGCCTGGCGTGTGCTTGGCTAGACTACTGTGAACTGTGAAATTATTGCCATGATCTAATTTCTGCGAAATTCGCGACCGCGTGGAAATCGCGAAATTTAGACAGCGCGAAAAGGATATCCATGAAGGGTTTAGCAAGAATGCCACATGTTTAGCAAGAATGCCATTCTGCAATCGCAAAATTAAAACCTCGCAAACCTGTCCGGATTCTGAAAACGCGAACTAAAAACGCCGCGAAAATTTCACGCTTTACTCATGTGAACGATTTTTCGTTGAGCAGTGCTGTACATCGGAACATCGTGTAGGTTGTTATGGTGATGGGGGGGGGGGAGAAGAGAGGGGGAAGGTGGCTGAGTCAGGTCAAACACATGAAACCTCAGGATATCCACTGCATTCCATTTTCCATCGATGTTCGGCTAATTTGCAGGTTTCACACTACACATCTGACTCCTTGAGGAATAATGAAAGAAAAGAAATCCGTGAAGAACAATTGACCAACACCGACGGGAATTGCACCAGAAACTCACTAACAGCTCCTCATGATCGATGTGTCAATTGACGGAATCCTTCCACCAGTCTGCCAGCATGCCATATTTCCATTGCCAAAACCAGATCAAACTTCCCGGCTGACAGCTAATGCTACTAGCAAGCAACCAGTCAGAACTGGGAGCTGGAGCATGTGCCAGCTTCCACTGTTCTCCGAGCAGAGTTAAGCAGACTTTTCGCCGGTACGACGGAGATGGAATTAACGTCTTTCCAGCAATCTCACCCACGCACACACCACACTGTAACTCAACAGCCAATACCAGATCAAGCTTTCTCCGTTGGCTATGTACTAGCCAACGATCAGTGGCCAGTAAGCGCTGGAATGTGGTACATGTGCCAATTTCCACTGTTTCCCACACAGAGTTGAGCAGACTTCACCGAATTAGCAGCATCTTTCCAGCAATCTGCATGCATTGTCACCTCGCCCGCACACCCACCACAACATAACTCTACAGCCAGTACCAGATCAAACCTCCTCCGTCGACTATGCACTAGACAAAAGGTAGCAGCCAGTAAGAGCATGGTGCTGGTACATGTGCCAACTTCCACTGTTCCTCACGCAGAGTTGAGCAGACTTCACCGAATTAGCAGCATCTTTCCAGCAATCTGCATGCATCGTCATCTCGCCCACTGACACACCACCACACCATAACTCAACAGCCAATACCAGATCAAACTTTCTCCGTTGACTTTATACTAGCCAACGATCAGTGGCCAGTAAGCGCTGGAATGTGGTACATGTGCCACTTTCCTCTGTTTCCTACACAGAGTTGAGCAGACTTCACCGAATTAGCAGCATCTTTCCAGCAATCTGCATGCATTGTCACCTCGCCCACACACCCACCACAACATAACTCTACAGCCAGTACCAGATCAAACCTTCTCCGTCGACTATGCACTAGACAAAAGGCAGCAGCCAGTAAGAGCATGGTGCTGGTACATGTGCCAACTTCCACTGTTCCTCACGCAGAGTTGAGCAGACTTCACCGAATTAGCAGCATCTTTCCAGCAATATGCATGCATTGTCGCCTCGCCCACACACCCACCACATCGTAACTCAACAGCCAATACCAGATCAAACTTTCTCCGTTGGCTATATACTAGCCAACGATCAGTGGCCAGTAAGCGCTGGAATGTGGTACATGTGCCACCTCTGTTTCCTACACAGAGTTGAGCAGATTTCAGTGAATTAGCAGCATCTCTCCAGCGATATGCATGCATTGTCACCTCGCCCACACACCACCACATCGTAACTCAACAGCCAATACCAGATCAAACTTTCTCTGTTGACTATGTACTAGCCAACGATCAGTGGCCAGTAAGCACTGGAATGTGGTACATGTGCCACTTTCCTCTGTTCCGGCCCCACGCAGAGTCAGACTTCACCAAAAAGACAGGGATATAGATAACGGAATCCTTCCAGCAATCCGCATTCGTCGTCGCCTCGGCAGTACATCCCCATGCCATAACTCTACAGCCAATACAAGATCAAGCTTTCTCTGACAGCTACTAGCCATAAATAGCCAGTAGCCAGTAAGAGCTGGAAGATGGTGCGTGTGCCTACTTTCCTTCCTTGACACAGCCGATGCGATTCAGGCCTTGCAAGAGGTGCTTTTTAAAGACACAAGGGTACTCGCTTGCTCTCGTATTGAAACTAGTCAGCGACACCATCGGCAACTCCTTGCGAGATTAGTGCAGTACTACCATGGGTGTGTTGTCATCACTGCATTGCTGCCCAGATCCGAATGTTCTTCTAAACAATAGACACCGCAGCTGTCCTCAACAAACCGCATGGCTGGATGCAACCCTTACTGCGGCAGGTAATCTGTCGTGATCAGTCGCCAATTTGTCATCTGCTAGCTCCGTGCTTGTCAACTGAGTTTAACGAAACCGCCTCTACTCCTTGGCCGCGTATCTAGTCATGTGCGATCCTTATTGTGAGTGTGAGTGGTGGTGTGTGTAATTTTGTTCTGAGTGAGGGGGGAGGGGGAGGGGGGAGGGACCATGATCATCTTTCTTCAACCAATTGCATTCTGTGATGCTTTGCTGCTGCTGCTGCTGCTCCTGTTGCTGCTGCTGCTGCTGATGCTGATGCTGTTGCTGCTGCTGCTGCTGCTGCTGCTGTGGCTGCTTCTAACGCCACTGCTGCTGCTGCTCACAGTCTGATGGGACGTTTCTAATCCTAGTGACGGAGGAGAGAGTGTACTGCCTGATGGCAGAAGACGGATACGAGTGCCACGATTGGGTGCAAGGTCTGGCCATGTTTGCCAAGATGAAGCCAGACGCGTTGAATGGAGTGTCGGGTAAGTGCCCTGCTCCGTAACCAGTACTGTAAAACTGCCCGTAATCCGGGCAGGTCGGGACCGAGCGCTGGCCAAAACTAGGAATTACCCTTAACTCAATGCGCTGAACAGATGTCCCCGGGCATACACACAATCTGTCGCGTAACTCCATACCTCTGTATACTGGACACAATAATATCTGTATTCAAGCTCAACACGATGACTGTAATGACAGGAAGGAGCCAAAGGAGCGCAACAAGTTCAAATGAACAGTCTCTCTGTACAGGGGCATAGCAGCCGGTCCGGCCGGACCACTTTTTCGCCCGGCCACGGCCAAAAGTGCCCAGAATGCAGGTTTTTGCACCCTGACTTCAAATATTTCACGAGGAGACCCCTGGACCCCCTCCTGCCGGACCACCTCCAACAGCGATGCTGCGTGCCTGCTGTGTACTGCTCTTCCCTTTTCCATTCTCTTAACTAGTGAGTATACTGCCTCTTGTACTCTGTTCACTGCAGCCGACACGAAAGACTCGAATGGTTTCCTCGCTAACGGCCTGAAGAATAACAAGCAAGCAGGTGGCGGTGCTGGGACGTACCAGCCGACGGAGCGTTACGATGCCCTGGCCAGCAACGGCGAGGACGGATGGGAGGACGACCCCGGTCCGGGCCAGTTCGACATCGTGTACGACAGCCCCATCCGGGACACGACCCTGCGACCTAGCGCAACCATGGCAATAAATGTGAGCTCTGGCCCATCCACCGCCGCTGGAAAGAAAGGCACACAACAGCAACGCCGCCAACCGGTGGCGGTTATCAAGGAGAATGGCGACAGCAGTGGAGACGGTGGTGGTGGTGGTGGTGGATCTGCCGAGGTGTACGAGGAGTACGAGGTGGACTCTAAGAAAGAGAAGAAGGGCCGCAAGACGAAGCTGCCTCGGCTGCCGTCGCGTTTCAGCCGTAAGCGCCAGAACTCCCTTCAGCGGAGCAAGCGGGGCAAACACATGCCCGCGCTGCCCAAGAAGCCAGGAAGACCCGGCGTAGCAGCAGCACCACCGAACACATCCGCCGATCACAATCTGCCCGAACCGATTCCGAGGAAGTCGCGCGCCCCGCCAAAGACGGCTCGCGGCTCCGGGCCCACACCACCTCCGCCGCCGCAGAAATACACACTGCCGGGAACGTTCAAGGGCAAGTCTAACCAACCAGTTAAGACGGCGGACCCGACACCGGCACCACGACGACGAGGCAGTCCGCCGAACAGCAAGTTCAAGCAGCCGCCGAGAAAGTCGTCCTCCTCCAAACTCTACGTGAACAACGCGCAGCAGCAGAGGTCCTCCGCCGGACCACCTCCACCCCCGGCGCGTCATCGTCACGGCTCATTCTCCGAAGGCAGTGGCTCCTCCGGTGAAGTCGTTCTCTCACAGCCCAAGCTCATCGGTCGTAAGCCGGGCGATGGGCGTGCGAAAGCCATGGTGCCGGCGAAAGGAAGGAGATAGACGTACGAAAGCCATAGTGCCAGCGAAAGGAAGGAGATCGACCTAATTTATGGAAATGATGTGATGAACAGCTTGCAGTGGTGTCG